GCCATCGCGCAGATCCATCTCTCCATCCCAAGCACTTTCTTTTCACAGGAATTCCCCCCTCCCTCTATCACCCAGGTAACGCTATCTACTAAGGAGCAGGAAACTAGGTAAAAGTTCATCTCAGCCTTATAGCAAAATTCCATGCAGACCACCCAGGCAAGCCAGGAGGGGGGGTTCACATCCAAGGAGGGGATAATGATACTTATCTTGTGTTTTTTTTTCTATGGGGCAGGTTACATCGGAGAAGTGAAGGGAGAGGGGCCGGATGTCAGCGTTCCAATTTATAATCTCCTCCAGCGCTGACATGAATGAGAGAGGGAGAAGCTTTGCTTTAATGCTGAGATGAACTTTTACCTAGTTTCCTGCTCCTTAGTAGATAGCGTTACCTGGGTGATAGAGGGAGGGGGGAATTCCTGTGAATAGAAAGTGCTTGGGATGGAGAGATGGATCTGCACGATGGCCAATGAGACATTGGGGTTGAAGAACGGAAAGGGAGGGGTTTGGAAGGAGGTGCCAGTTTTGGCTGCACAAAGAGTTCAGGGATGTGGTTCTTTCTATTCTTAAATAAAGAAAAGATTCATCAGAGACCTTGCGTTTGAGAATGAAGTTTATTTAAGATAGCAGCGAAACCTGACACAGAAATCTCAACTAACGGTGTGAGCAATAAACCAATGGAATAGCTTGCCTCCATAAGTTGTGAGTTCTCCATCACTGGAGGTTTTTAAAAAGAGACTGGACGGACATTTGTCTGAAATGGTAAAGGGTCTCCTGGTTGAACACGGGGTTGGACTAGAAGACCTCCAAAGTCCCTTCCAACTCTGTTGTTCTGTTATTTCTAATCTTCTTAAACCAACCTGGTTTTCCTTACCCAGAACACCTTGTTGTAAATGGGACTGATAAGCTAACTGTTCCTTTCATGGGTAGGGCCTGGAGAAATGTTTCTCGATCTTAGCAGCTTGAAGATGAGCGGACTTCAATCTAGAATTTTTCAACCTCCGAATGTAACAGAGAGACTTGTCATGCATTGACCGTGCAGTGTGAAAACAATTCCTTCCTTTTCTTTATTGTTGCAATTTTGATCATCTGCCAGGGAGTGGCGCATGTCTTCCATTGTTCATCAGGAAGCTTTGCATAAAATCTCCACTGTGTGGACGTCAAGAATGAAATTCTGTGCATTCCTGTTCGAAAGCAAAACCCATTCAGTTTAGTAAGACTTATGCCCAGTTAAAATGGCAAGCTATGCAAGGAATAAAGAATGCAAACAGGGGATCCTGGATCAACAAAGTGAGATGAGGCAAAATGAAACATATCCTGTCCTGTAAACCCAAACAGTCACCATCCAACCTGAAGGTCACCAGCTACCAACTAAGGTCAAAAAGGCATATCTCTGAGCAGAGGGGTGGGGGGGTCTGGAGAGAGAGGAGGAGTAAAAAAAAAAAAAAGGAAAGAAAGTGGCTGTGACTTATCAAAGCCTTTTTCTTTTATGTGTATCACACAGGTGTAATGTGTTTGTTTATATCTCACCTTTATTATTTTTAGAAATAACTCAAAGTGGCAAACGTATCAACATACCTCCCTCCACACATTTCATATCAACACATTTTCCCCACGCTAGCCCTGAGAGGTGAGTTGGATTGAGAGAAAGCAACTGGCCCAAAGTCACCCAACTGGCCTAAGGCAGGACTAGAACTCCCAGTCTCCTAGTGTATTGGCCCATCCAGCTGACTTTTGTGCCTAAGGCAGGGCTAGAACTCAGTCACCTGGTGGTAATTAACCTGAAATTACCCAGCTGGCTTTCATGTCTAAGATGGAACTAGAACTCCCAATTTCTAGCTTAGTGCCTTAACCACTAGATCAAATGTGCTATCTTAACATTTTTCCTGTTCCAGAGAAGGCAGGTTGCAGAGGATGGGGGCTGTGGCTGGACAGGCCAATTGGCTTGATACAACCCCCATATACTGTATCTCTCAAGAGTATTAAATTCTGAGCAGACCATCTCTGGTTTTCAGACCAGCCAGGCAAAGCTGAATGCAGATCACTGAATTGGTCATTTATGCTTGGAGCTGCATCTATGCCCAGAATTTGTGAATAAACAAATTAATTCTGCTTTGTCTTACAGTGTGGCATCATATAAAAACAGGAACAGCCAACATCGCACTGAATTCCACTTTGCATCAGCCTGAGCTCCCAGGCACGGAGTAGAATTAGTCCCACACAAGTTGGGGGAAGAGTTACTGTTTCCCTCTACCTTAGAACCAAAGTACAGAGCCGGTTTGGTGTGATGGTTAAGGTACCATCTAGAAACCAGAGGATCCTGACTTTTAGTCTCGTCTTAGGCACAAAGCCAGCTGGGAGACTTTGGGCCAGTCAGTCCCTCAGCCCTAGGAAGAAGGCTCTGACAAGCCACTTCTGGAATCTTGCCAAGAAAACTGCAGGGACCAGGAGTCAACGCTGACTTGAAAAGTGCAGACACACAGAGAGGGCCAAAATAGCTTCCTAGGACTGAGAAGACTCTAGATCAGTGACAGAGAATTTATTTGGTTCGTAGAAGGTTCTATGTTCAATTGCAACTGTAGAAAGTTAGCACCCACCCCTCTCCTAGAAGAATGAAATATTTTAAGAAATATTAAAAAGACAGAATATTGTATTTCCCTGGATGAGAAATGGAGAAACATGGGTTTTTTAAGAGGGAGAAAGCAGCCCCCACCTTTTCTTAATAGCCCACAGCAGATGTCAGCACTTAAGAGATAGATAGGTAGCTCTATTCATAGGCAAAGCAAATACTGCAGGAAGAAATCCATTCAAGACAGGCTATTTTGAAATTCCCTGCACCAAGGTCTGAACAAAGGTAGGATTAGCCCTCAGCCACAATAGGAATTACCCAACACCCTTTCAGAACACAAGGCCTTCATTGCATCACCCTCAGAAACTTCCATCAAACCTGGGAGTTCAGACAAACACCTAGGATTTGTACTTTGCCTATAGAGCCAGCTATGACCCCTACATAACCCTTCCATGGCCCCATGGGAGTCTGACAACAGCCAATATCCAGCTTATCCAGGACCAGCCCACAGTCTGTCAGTTGCTGTCTATGACGATATGATCCTGTATGAAATGGATCCACCAGCTGGTTTGGGAGAAGGTAGCTTCTGCTATTCGGGTAACCTTAACCCAAGATTAACAAACCACATAGCTGAGACCAGGTTAGAATTTCGCATGATGTTGGCCTGTGACCAAAAAGGGCGGTTTGTGACAAGACAGGAAACTCCGAGCTGGAGTAAAGTAAAACTAGAACTCATTTTATTGCAATGCTTTCAAGCTGCTCAACTGGAAAAAAAAGTTTTCCTGGAGTTTTAGTTCAGGCATTCCAGCTTTGACACTGCCTGATTGGCCATCCCAGAATCCTCACAAGGGAAGGCTGACACCAATGTTATGGAATGATGGGACCAAACAACGTTCCTGGGTCAGCCAGAGACAGTTTTATTGCGCAGTTTCAGAACCAGATTTGTATCTGCAATTCTGAACCAAGAAGAGCTCTGATACAACTGCTTTTATACATCTCCAAAACAAAGGATTTTGCAAGCACAGCAGTTTTCCATATATGGTTAACATACATTTGTTACATGATAATTGACACTTTCTAATTACCAAATTCCTTCATTATTTTCTAGTTCATAATGTTATCTTAGCTAAACAACCTTCCTCAGTTCTGTAATTGCTGATGTGTAGATTCATGACTGCTTTGGCTAATAAGTAACTTTTTGTTTCAGATGGATGTCTTTGCATCCTTGACATAGGCCCCTCGGAAGATATATATTACCAAGAAAGGAATTTAGCTGACCTAGTGTAATCGCTAAACAAGCACATTTCTTTCTTATAATAATGTGAATAAAGAGGGCCCTTCAGTGTTCCTATAGCTGATCCTGTACTATTCCTACATCATTCACATTACCAAAGCTGGGCCCCTCCGAATCATATGGATTTCCCCTCCCATCCTTCCCAGAAGGAGGCTGGGGTGTCAAACTCATTTGTGGGGCATCTGCGTGGGAAAGACAGCCGTGGGGCATACCGTATTGTTGTAGGCAAAATAACGGACTAGGCCAAGCTCTTCAATGCAGGAAAGAGTTTATTGCGCAAGGTTCAAAGACAGCGAAGGGTCTGAACAAAGATGGCTGATTTTAACCAGATATTTATACAGCATAAAGGCAAAGTTATTACGAAGAGTGCGACATTTCACATGTAGAAGTTACCCTTTAATCTATCTCTAGGAAAGACATAACAGCCCTGTTCCCACAGGCTCAGGTTCTCAGCTCCGGAGCTCAAGACATAATAAAAGGAGATAAGGGGCTCAAAGGCGTCTCACGAGCAGTAAAGAGGACAGTAAGGAAAGCAGTATTTCTTCTCTAGAATCTACATGACATTTGGGGTGCAATAAACATTAAACAACAGGATGTATCCGTTTAGGGTCAGTTCGCCCTTTTACAATTCTGTACCTACGTCAAATACCGTTGACATCTCGGCACCTTGGCACCGAAGAGGCACTTCTGTCTTGACCAAAGATTTGGATTTCTTAATAATTGAGTTTTATCCCAATATCGAATCTTAGCCTGGCTCAGTATCACTCGGTTTGGGCCATAATTGGGCAACGGGCAGGGCCGGATTTAGGTGAAAAGAGGCCCTAGGCTATTCCACTTATGAGGCCCTTTCACCTATAGTGAAAGTGTAATTTTAATTTTGCTAACAATTTGAATGTAGGGAATGTAGGCCCCTCTTGATCTTGAGGCCCTAGGCTGAAGCCTAGTTAGCCTATAGGAAAATCCGGCCCTGGCAACGGGGGACCAGGACCTGGGTCGGAGAGCCTGATTTCTGCTGCCGGATCTTTTCTAAAGCAGGCGGTAGCGAGCGTGGTCAGAGGCGGGGGAGCTTCTCTTAGGGGCTATACGGTACGGCGGCGGCTGCCGCTGCTGCTGCCAGCAGTGATGAGTCAGACGGTTCGCTGCTGCTGCTGCTGCTGCTGCTGCCATCCCCTCGCCTGCATCTCCATCTTTAGAGCATCTTCTGGCTGCAAAGGCGGCCGTTGGTGCCTCGCTGGGCGCGGAGGGGAGGCCGTGGGAAGGCGCGCCGAGAGCCGCCTCGCCCGCTCCCCAACCGGGACGCCCCCATAGACCTTGACGCACAAAAAGGCAGCCGTCCCCCCCCGCTCAGCGCATCCGCCGGCCCGCCTCCGGACTCCGGAGCATGCCTCCCGCTCCCCGGACCGGGTTCCGACGCGCATCGCGGCCCGTGACTCGGGTCCAGCGGCTCAGCAGCGTCTTGCCGGGGCTCCGGCCGGTTGGGCAGCCTTGCTGAGAGCGTCTTTGCTTCCCCCCCCCCACGCGCGGTCGCGAGTGGGCAGCTTCGCGGGAAGGGCGAGGGCGCGGAAGGTGGGAAGCCCCCCCGCTCCACTCCCCGTCGAGGCGGGCCGGGTGAAGAGAGGAGGTCGGGCCGGGGCATCCAAGCCTCTCTCGGCCAGGCTTCCCCTCCAAGCTCGCCGGCGCGTCCCCGGCTAGGAGGAGCAGGCGCCCCCGAGGCGAAGGCCGGTGCGGGGACGGCGCTCCTCTCGCAGCAGCGCTAGCAGCCTCCGCGCCGGCCGCCCCTGCAGTAGCGGCAGCCGCGCCAAGCGCGCTGCGCCCCGGAGCTCCGATAAGCGCAGCGTCGGGCCTCTCCGGGCTCGGCCCCGGGGAAACGATGGAGGCCATTTGGCTCTACCAGTTCCGCCTGATCGTCATTGGGGACTCGACGGTGGGCAAATCCTGCCTCATCCGCCGCTTCACCGAAGGGCGCTTCGCTCAGGTCTCCGACCCGACCGTGGGCGTGGATTTCTTCTCGCGCCTGGTGGAGATCGAGCCCGGCAAAAGGATCAAGCTGCAAATCTGGGACACCGCCGGCCAGGAGAGGTTCAGGTGAGCAGGGATCGGTCCCGGATGGGTCCTTGGGGAGGGGGGCGGGGGGGGGGCTGGGGAGGGAGGTTGCCCTTTGCTTGGAGGGAGAGGCAGAGGGCAGGAGGAAAGACCCTACTGGGCCTGGGGGGGGGGACGCCTTTCATTTTATTTATTTATTTATTTTTTAATTTGATTTATATGCCGCCCTTCTCCGGAGACTCGGGGCGGCTTACAATGCCCTAAGCAATAGCCTTCATACTTTTGTATATACCTGCTTAGTAGGGCTTTCGGGCCCCCCCTAAGCAGTGTTCTTTTTTATACAGTCAATTTATTGCCCCCACAAACTGGGTCCTCATTTTACCTACCTTAGAAAGGATGGAAGGCTGAGTCAACCTTGAGCCTGGTGAGATTCGAACTTACAGTAATTGCAGACAGCTGGTGTTAATAACGGTGCTTTAGACCACTGTACTACCAAGGCTCATTGAGTCAGTGGGGAGTTGGGTGCTCTTTGGTCAGATTTAATCTCCCCCTCCTCCAAGGGAAAATCCATGGCAGGCAGCAGTGGTCTTAGTCGCTTTCCAAGAAAGAAGTCTCCCCCGCGGTGCAGAGAAGGATCTCCAGACCTGGAGAGTGGGGGACAAGGGGTGCCATCTCCGAAATGCGTCCCTTCCTAAAGTTGTGATGCAGCAGGGTCTCAAGACAAGCTTGTTCACGTCCCTTGTCTTCTCCTTCTTGATTGGGAGCCTCAACAACCGTTTGGGAAACCAACTTCTAGCCACCATGGACTTTACAGGGGCCATGATTAAAGAACGGGGCAGACCCAGGTTCAGGTCCAGCCTGAGCCCTGGAAACTCATTGGATGACTCAGGGCCAGTCGTTTTCTCTCACCCTAACCTACCTTCCAGGAATGTTGTGTGAATGAAAAAGAGAGACCTGCCCTCAATTCTCCAAAAAAAAGAAAAGAAACATGGAAAGTGAATGCACCAAATCAAACTAAATCTTCCCAGGGGCGAAGGTGCCACGGTTCCTCCATCAAGAGGTCCATGCCACAGCCTTGTTGTGTGCCAGACAGGTAGAGCTTAATATTCTTGGTCACAAAGCTAGAGATGCCCGAAGGGAAATAGTTGATGCCACCTCTTCTAGGGAAAAGGTATGTTTGTCCCATGGAGAAAACTCTTCTGCTTTTAGCCCTACCTTCTAGGGAGGACCTACCTGTGGCCTACCTCTCGGCTCCATCTTGAAAGCCAAAAAACAGAGAAGAAAACCAGCCTTCAATCAAGACATGACTTCACATCTGGCTCTATAGGCATTTGACCTGCTATTCAGAAATTTACTTGTCCGGCAGAAGGCTCACAGATGACTAGAAATAGAAGCTATAACCAGAGAGAAGTTTTGTCCACTTCACAAAAGACAAGACCATTATATAGGTCTCTGCTCCAAACATGAGGTTCTTTTCTTACACCTTTCTTAGTCAATAGATAGTTGGCCACTCTCTTGAGAGCCAGGGAAGGCAATGAATTATAGTGGCCCTGTGGTTCCATCTCTTCTGGTAGATTCCCGATTCCTGCCATACCAGCTTCACATCTTAACACCACGAGCAAGCAAGAATGAGAGAAAGAGCAAGGGGGAACTTGAACCTCAACTGTTTGATTGCTCCATCCATTTGAAGGTATCTCTGCAAGTTTGGAGACCAGCTACAGCCAAGAGGCCAGGTGACTGCCAAAGACCAGGAACTGGAAGCACTGCTCCACAACAATTGTCCAGTCTGATGAAGTAGGTTCCAAAAGGCAAAAGAACTTCCAGAGGAAATGGAGCAATGACGACAACCATCTTTCCAATGCAACTGGTGTCCCAATGCACTTGGCAAAGGGCAGCACCAATGGCTGCAACTTTGGCAGGCTGAACAAATACTAGGCAAAAGTAGAAGTGATTCTTTGGCAGTTGAATCAGTACTAAGTGCCCCAGCAGTGATGATCTTTTGGTGACTGGGATAATCAGAAAGCAGGGCATCGGCATCGAAGCCATCAAATCATGTCAAAACCGAATGAGTTAGCTTCTCCTTTCCTCCATCAACAGAATGGCAGTGGAAGAACCAAGCAGCTCTGGATGTAGTGGTATGTCAGAGGAAGTGGGAATGAGGCCCAGTAGTACAGGAGAGACACAAACCAGCCCAACATGGCCTACTATGACAACAAGAGGAACATCCCTCATTGGGCTCAGTCTACCCACACAGAACATGGGAGCAACATCAAGGTTGCCTCCCTGAGTGTGAAACAGTCTTCTGGGCTAATTGATAATGAGCTTCAGAATAACTCATGGAAAAGATACTGGAGAAGAAAGGAACCACTGCCCTTATTTCCAGAAGGCCTCAAATGAATCATTTTCTTCTCCATTCTTCATTTACTTGCAATTTTCTGTGCATTTGCACAGGAAAAAGAAGAAGTAGGAGATCCCAAAAGTCACGACGAGTAAAGACCCAGGAAGGAACTGGACATTCACCCTGGCAGTATCAGAAGCAGAAAGAGGGTCAGAAGAACAAGGAGATGGGCCACTGTCCCTCAATCAGTATCTTCAGTTAGTAACGCAAAAAGTCATGAAGAATCTGTTTAGCCTGCAAGAACTGAAGAATTAGTTATGTGAGATGCCTGTGGTCCATTCTTCTTGGGATTCAGATTGAGAGGAAGGCTACCTGTCTAACCATGGCTTTACCAACCTGCATTTTTTTTTCCATCAGAGACTCTGTAATGTTGACATATTCCTGGTGATCTCAATAAGTTAACAGAGGTACTCATCCTGGATCTGGGCTTCAACAATCCCACAATCAGTGCCTCCTGCAAATATCCCCTTCCGTTTCCAGCAGAATGACCTTTCCATATTTCTTGAGAGAGAAAATCTCTGAAGTGAATAAAACCAATCAAACTCAGGACTGTTCCGGATCCATGCTGGAAAACAAGTTGAACCTCCCAGCCAGGATCATCATGGATTCTCCCAGCCGTATCTGAGACTGATAAGCTGATACCATCATTGGTTTCTAAACTGATAGTGCCAAGAGATTTAAGAGAGATGCTCACAGAACCAACAGAACGGAGTGGCTCAAGCAAATCCATGAAAACCAGTTCTAGAACCCAGGGTTGAAGCTACCACTTGTATCATCTTTGGTAGGATGACCTTCTCCCAGAAGTCCCAACAGAAACCAAACACCAAAGAGAAAAGAGAAGGCATCAACAGGTGATTCAGAACAGCAATTGACTACTTACACTGAAATTAGGTCCACAACCTTTGGAATGGTGGCATGAGGGGACGATGACTCAAGCATTGGGAGACGGATCATCAGTTATTTGAAATCTGACTACCTAGCAAAGGCTTTCTTGGGGGAAAAACAATCTGAGGAGGTAAGTCAACTCAATTGGAGTGGAAAATATGAAATCCTTGCCCTAAATTCTGAAGAACGGATACAGAGACTCCTGTCTCTTTCAGAGGTCACCAAGATACAGATAGCCCTATGATTCTATGTCATGGTGGCCCATTTATCAGAAAAACTGACCTGTGCTTTCTCTTCAGTTCCAATGCTATCTAAAAGAGGTCACGAGATGATGCTTGAGGCATGGGTGATATTAATTGCTTTATTGTGGCCCTGGAGAACACTTTAATGGATGAGCAAGGAGGCTGAAATTCAGACTTCCTGTCCTGCAGCAGCTGACATCCTAGACAGGCGAGGGATATTTACCCGAGCTACATGACGCCATCCAGTTATTCACTGTTTTTCCTCCTGGGACTTGTCATTGGTTCTTAGGGATTTCATGACTGCTCCTTTTTTTTTTTTTTTTTTAATTTGATTTATATGCCGCCCTTCTCCGAAGACTCAGGGCGGCTTACAATGTGCACAGCAATAGCCTTCATCCTTTTGTATATTTATACAAAGTCAGCTTATTGCCCCCACAAACTGGGTCCTCATTTCACCTACCTTAGAAAGGATGGAAGGCTGAGTCAACCTTGAGCCTTGGCGAGATTCGAACCCTGCAGTAATTGCAGGCAGCTGGTCTTAATAAGCTTAATAACAGGGTGCCTTAAACCCCTGTACTACCAAGGCCCTTTCAACTTACTCGTCATGCTCCCAATAACATGCTAACCTACAAGACAGTAAGGCAATCCTAAATCTGTCTAGAAGGATTGAGGAGACGTGACAAAGGATTTGTGTGTATTCCATAAAGACAAAGTGGTGCTAAGATTGGATCTCTGCTTCATGCCCCTGGTCAGTTCAAGATTCCACCAAATAGAGGAGATTGTATCTTCCCATATCTGGCAGAATGAACCATGAACAAGTTAGATGTCTGCAAGGCCCAAAGAAAATCCTTCAACTCAAGCAAGACAGAGGGCTGATCTACAGAACAAGACACCTGAAGAGATGAGTTATATAATCCACCATCAGCAGGAAGGCCAAGAAACACTCTTGTCCAGTCATCCAGCAAGAAATCCATTGGCAACAGGATGTTTGGTGGTGGCTGGGTGGACTACATCAATAGGCATGACATTTGGAGTCCCATTAATGGTCCTTTGTATAGCAATCACCTGGACAGAGCTATTCATGTTCATGGACATATTTGCCTCCACAAACACAATCTTGAACACATGGTGCCATTATCTATGGAGGTTCTCAGTCATCCAAGTCATGGTTATCCCAAATGTACTTTTTCAAAAGGCAACTGGATTTTGTTTTTGCTAATAAAGTCCAGGACTTTGTTACGAAAAACAAAATACTTAGGAAAGGACAAAGTCCTAAGAAGCAAAGTCCTTAGGAAATACAACATCCAGTTGCCTTTTGAAAAAGCACCTTTGGGACATGGTGCCATTTACTGACCCTACCTAGGAAGTCTAACCTAGTTTATACCTTCCTTACCAGCTAACTTTTCAGTAACCAAGAATGGTGGTAGAACTACTGCACAGCAATAGGACCTTTCATGAATCTTTCACGAGAACAATTCAATGTATATAGATGTGAAGTCATACCGGAAGCAAAGAAATTTTGCAAACTTGAGAAGGAAGGAAATACAGACTTAACTTTTACAATCTTTGAAGGAAAGAATTCAAGGCTTCCTTGTTTAACATTCACAACAACCTGTGTAGTAATGGAAAGGGATTGATGCAAAGTTATCCAGAAAGAGCTTTGTTGCAGAGTAGATATGAACTTGTGACTGCCTAATCCTAGTCTACTGTGGTAACTCAATTCACATCACCCTAGGGCAAAATGTGGGGGGGGGGGTTGGTTCTGATGTGAGTCCAACTATTTTGATTTATAGTTTAGCCTGCTAAAAAGATCCAGCCATATCATAGATTTATTAAAATTATGATTCACTGTGATGCATGAACCCAGTTACAGAGGGGATCAACATTCCAAGCCACAATGTACTCAGCAAGTTCTGGGACCCCAACTGTTCTGGCTACACAATGGCTTAGCAAAACTTTAAACTATTCTGGCTGTATTAATATCACACTGAACACCAGGCAAATCAACTACATTTTGCCTAGCATGTGTGAATTCTGCTGGGCGGTTAATTCAAAGTGTTCCTTGCTCTCAGGCAAAGTATCACATATAACAGCCAATACGTACTAATATTGTGTCCTCTAACTTATTCTGGTAGGATCATGTCCAACCAGGAACCCTGTTTTGCTGGCTACAATGACTTAAGGCATTTTGCTCTGAAAACAGATTGTGTTTATCACAGTGTATGACACTTGTCATGAATGTGTGGCAAGATAGTCCTTGACGTATGACCACAATGGAGACCAGAATTTCTCAATTTGTTGTTAAGCAAGGCGATTGCTGAGTTTTACCCAATTTTACCAACTTTTTGCCATTGTGGTTAAGTCAGTCATTGCCGTTTTCAAGCACATCCAGCTTTTCCCTTTGACTTTGCTTGCTGGAAGCCAGCTGAGGAGGTCATAAATGGTGATCAAGTGATCCCAGGATGTTGCAATCATTGTAAATACATGTCCGAGGTCAAGCAACCAAATTGTGATCATGTGACTGTAGAGGATGTTGGTTGCAAGTATGAGGACTGCTGGTAAGTCACATTTTTCAATGCCGTGATAACTTTGAACGCTCACTAAATGAATGGTTGTAAGTCGAGGACTAACCTATAATGCACTTGTAGGAACCGTTCCTCAAAATAGTGCATTATCTCTTTGTTAGTCTTTAAAATGCAGCATTAATTAGTTGAATGAGCACCAAATGATTGGATTTGTGCAACATGCTAAACCATGCATGCAATTTATAAACTGGAATGGCTGAGTTTACTCAGCATAGTAAGCCAGGGTTTGTATAACCAGCTTGTTGAACAAGCCACGGTTGCTCTCTTTGCACAATATAAATCACAAGCCATCATTTTAATGCCATAGTGGCTGGGCTTGAACCACACATTAAGCCCAAAGGAATCCAGCTTGCATCATATTCATACAGCAAACCATCTTTTGGATCGATTTGTATCTGACGGGTACCTGCAAGACGAAAAATAGCTATGATTTGGTGCTTGCATTTTAATTTTTTCTGATGATCTTTCTTCCTCTCTTGGGTCTTTGCTCTCTTCCAGATCCATTACGCGAGCCTACTATAGAAATTCCGTCGGTGGCCTGCTCCTCTTTGACATTACCAACCGCAGGTCCTTCCAGAATGTCCACGAGTGGCTGGAGGAGACCAAGGCACATGTCCAGCCTTATCAAATTGTCTTTGTACTAGTGGGCCACAAATGCGACCTGGACACGCAGCGGCAAGTCACCCGACACGAGGCCGAGAAACTGGCCCTCGCTTACGACATGAAGTACATTGAGACCTCGGCACGGGATGCTATTAACGTGGAGAAGGCCTTCACTGACCTGACTCGAGACATCTATGAACTCGTGAAAAGGGGGGAGATAAGCATCCAGGAGGGCTGGGAAGGGGTCAAGAGCGGCTTTGTGCCCAACGTTGTGCATTCTTCAGAAGAAGTGGTGAAGTCAGATAGGAGGTGCCTGTGCTAACTGGGAAGTCCCCGCGAGGAGGAAGGAGGCTGACTCTTGAGTAGCCCCAATGGGTTCCATTCTACTCCACAAACTTGGTGGGAAGGCAGAGAAGGTGCAGTTCGGTAGGCAAAGCACCGGCGCTTGGACTGCTGGAGGACAAAAGGAGGCTATAACCCCACCATGTACGAATCAATCCAGATGCATGTTAATGTGGTAGAGATAAGGCCATGGGAGTCTGGAAAAACGGGGTAGGGATAGTCACCATCAATGGGTTTTATGTACCCTGGTTTAAATAGATTCATCTATCATTGCTTTTCGCTTTTCTTCTTTTTTTTTTTTCCTTTTCTTTTTCTTTTGAAGCCATAGTCCAAATCGCCTATAATTAGGAAGCGTATTTAGAACAGGAACAAGGGAGAGAGAAATCATATGCTTGTGCTACCTTTTAATAATCACCATGGCTGAAATAATAATAATAAAAGGCTTGCTGCAATAGAAATTAAATGTTAAAACATTGCAGAGCCACTAAAATTGAAGCCAGAAAGACCCTTACTTTATTAGTTCCAATTTTGATGTCTCAAAAGCTTCTGGGAATTTGATAGTTCAGGTTCCACCATTAATCTGGGAAGAACTCACCAGTTGAATCGGTAAGGTCAATATTTATTGGTTCTTTATGAAATGCATAGCCGCATTCCTTCAAAAGCCTAAGGGTACATCATGCTCCCCCCTTATTTTTCTCCAGAAAAGCAGCCCCACGAAGGAAGTTGGTGACTGGCCAGAGTCAAAGTCATCCATGGTTGAGGGGCACCTGAAAGACCCTGGGTGTCCCCAGTCCTAGCCCAACATTTCAACCATTACAGTACCCATACTGATTCTCAATCCTGAAAAGATTCCCAGGAAGATATTTTCTAATTGAGCTCTATGAGTCAGGCATGCAATACTTTCCATGTTAATGTTAGAATTACACAGTGATGAGTTTTCCCTTTGTATTTGATGATTCCCTCTCCCTATCACTTTTCAGTTCTTTCAGTTCTTGCTGGGTCTTTCATCCAAGAGCTGAAGGAATTGGAATCTCGGTTGTTAGATTTCTGCAAGAAGAGGTAACCCTATTGATTTATTACTAATAATGGTTATTAAAATACATGATTGCATTTATATTCTACCTTTTCTCAGGGAGTCCCAGCATACTTACAGTATGTGGGCTCTCTTTCTCAATACCACAAACCTTTGAAGTAGGTTGGACTAAAAGGTTAACTGGCCCAAAGTCTCACAGCGAGACATTGATCACTCCCATGATCACCTCATTAGATCACCCTGATCTAAGTCCAGTTCATTATCCACTACATCCCTTAATGAAATGTTGGTGGTTGCTTGGGCCACCTGGAAAGTTGCATTCCTATAAGCGATAGGAAGAGGGGGGGGGGGTTGATGTGTGTGTGAGAGGGGGATACTATTTAATCAAGGATGTTCTAATTTTCTTCTGGAAAAAGCCAAGATTGATTAAAGTTGAAATAGCATTGAAACCATGCTTCCTGCTCTTTGCACGTTGCATTTCCTGCGAGTCCCAGCTGAAAAGAAAGAGGATGCATGGTAAGATAGGCAAGATAGAAACCATTGTTTTGCAAGCCAGTTAACTTGCAAGTGTTGTAGTTTTAAAGGCCTTTCTTTCCCTTCCGGACACATTATCAATCATTTAAGCGTTGCTTTAAGAAAGCAAGCTAGATTAGTTAAGCAAGGGCGCTCATGACACGACCTGAAATTCTTAGAGGAAAATCAGTGTCTTCAAAAGAGATGGAAGTGAGCAGAGGGTCTTGATGTGAGCAGAGGGAAGTAATCAGCGACTTGCAAGTGACATAATGTCGTTTGGGAGATGCTGAATGATGGGAAACGGCTTTTAAAACCAAGATGAATCTGTGCATTTTCAGCAGCAGTTCCACTTTTTCTCTTGTTGATCATTTTGCATCTGGAGCTGGGCTTTTTCTGAATGCAGAAAAGAAGGAAAGGAGGATTGGATTCCTTGAGAGCATTGTAAACATTCCTGAAGAACGTTTAGGAAGAAGCCAATGTTAAAAGAAACAATATTAATTTTGAGTGTTGCTTTCTTTTAACGAAATAGTTTGCTTTGAGGCAGAAAAGGGCTATACTGTTTTTAATGACCTACATACTGTACATCCAGGGTGTTTACTTTTCTTTTTTGGAGGTGACGGCAATAATGTAATAATCAGCAGAAGACACAAGTAAACATACATCCCATTTGTTAAGGCCATTGAGAAACATTTTTATAGTAATACAATAGAATAAGGGAGGAAGCCCACATATACTCAAGACTATTTTTTTTTATCAGTAAGTCAGATTTAGACTAATTTCAAGAATGTTGCTAGCGTTGAACCCAGGAGTAAAATAGATTGTAGGATTGGTTATATTTTGCATGCTCTGGCTCAAATTGTAGCTTTATATAAGGAATAAAGATAGAAAGGCAAATGCTTCTTTCTGCCTATTAACTAATTAAAGACGTTTTAGTCAATCATCTGAATTTCTGAATATTACTTAAACCTGCATATGGGGGAGGGGGGAACATTTCTATGAAACAAAGAGGTTGGGTTCTTTTTAGATAGTATCTGTGGGTGTGACAAACAAACATTACTATTGTAGAAAAATTCCAGCTTCTTACATAGATTGCTGCTTATGATCCAGTACGTGTTTGCATTGAATATGCTTTTTTTTAAAAAATAGGTCTATTTCCCCAGAAAGGGAGGGGGTGTTAGCAGTTTAAGTCAATTAATCAAATTGGATTTTTAGAATCAACCTATCAAGCTGATGAAATGTTGGAGCACCTTTAAAAGCTAGCTTTTTTCAGATAGGAGAATAAAGGGTGGGAAGAAGTGATGATAAATCCATGTAATACTTTAACAAGTGTCAGTACATTCGTTGGAACTTTTGTTTCATTCTGAGTTTTTTTCTATAGTTTTCGGTTTCTGCATGATTCACCGGTGACTTCAGATAATTTCTATGATCAAATTAAGGCAATATGTAAACTACTTTTTAAATGCCTGTTTACCAAGTGTTGAAAGATATGCTTAAGTATCTTAGGTTACAGTTGCTTGTAGATTTCATCTGGACTTGGAATAGTTGATCCATTAAAGCAAAATAATTAATTCAGAAGTGATTTTTATAAATGAGCCTTATACTTCCATGTGCTGTTCAATTCTCTAGAGAATATTTCATATACATGTACATTGTGCACACACAGATTAAAACTTGGGCTGTCCTAGAACTATGTACATTAATAGGAGATAAAGACAGAGAAGAGCAACAAAGATGATTAGGGAATTGGAGGCTAAAACATACAAAGAATGATTGCAGGAATTGAGTATGTCTAGTTTATTTTTATTTATTTATTTTGTACTAGGGGTGACATGATAGCAGTGTTTCAAATAACTATGGGATTGCCACAAAGAGGGGGATCAACCTATTCTCCAAAGGCAGGACAAGAAGCAATCAAAAGGAGAAACAACCTAGAACTAAGGAGAAATTTCCTGACAGTGAGAACAATTAATGAGTGCAATAGCTTGCTTCCAAAATTTGTGGGTACTCCAACACTGGAAGTTTTTAAGACAAGATTGGACAACCATGTCTGAAATTGTATAGGATTTCCTGCAGGGGGTTGGATTAGAAGATCTCCAAGGTCCCTTCCAACTGTTATTCTCTATGTTATAGTCTTTTCAGTGACACTTCCTCTGGATATGAGGATGCATTCAGGCCCAGTTTGGTGGTATTCTTACAGCACCCTAACCTTTGGTAGTTTTAAACTTGGTTAGCATGTTATATGAATCCCACCAATGGCACTACCTGATGTTAAGACAAAATTTAACGTGCAAACCCAAGTCCATCTAATCTGAAGTCCAAAATCAAGAACACCTCCTAAATCAGCCTTTACTGGATGGGTTATGGAGTGAATGGAGGACTTTCTACATGTAAAGTTCAATTGTGAACTCTCACCTTGGCTTTTTTTACTGTCTCAGGAGCACTGCATCTCTCCTAGGGATACGGCAGGTGACCAGGAACCCTGTTTGCCCTTGATTAGAAATTTCTCTAGAACTGTCAAATTTACTGGGCAAAAGCTTTTTTTTTTTTAATACACCTTCAGTAAATTTTCCAAGTAATCACAGAATCAAAAAGGAAAAAGGAAGGATCTAGAAGATTGTGTAGGAACATCTAACGGCCTTTGAGGGGCCATGTGCTAAGATTATTTACGTGATTAAAAAATTACTTGTCTTAACTGTCATTTTTTAAAAAAGGAGTCTGGATCCTGCACCAATCTAAATCAAAATCTATGAACTAGCGTAGTAGCAAATGCCTTTCAGTTTTTTTCTGGGTTAATACTGACTTAATAATAAACATCTTTGATTTGTACTATCATGTATGAGGATGACAAAGACACACAGAAAATATACTGGAAGGTGAAATGGAATGGAAATGAAATGAAATGGAAGGTCTAATAATCCTGATAAAAACCTGTCAGTCTTTTTCTGATTTACATTTGTAACCCCTCTATACAATTAGCAGTGTACCAAGGATTCCTGCTTTTTAAAAAATGGGAGGGGCTTGATTTTGTAAACCTGATTTCTGAACTGATTTGAGTAGATTTCTGTGCAAGAGAAAGGGCTAACGAGGCCATAGGAAGCTCCATTTTCTTTCTGCTATCTGGCAAAATCCAGCAAAAATAGAAATGAGCCCAGTTTATTAGTTTCAAGTTCACAATCTTAGTCTGCATGCTGGATTTAAAGAAAAATCCAGACCCTCCAGATATATAATTATACTGTACATTTTTGCTAGCTTTCTGTTTTATGACTGTAATGAAATGTGACGCAATATGTTGTATTTAGCTGCGTGTGGATGAAAATTATGCTCGCGCTTAGCAAAGCAGTTAATGTGAATATGTGACATGCAATACATGTAAGGATTACTTTATTTTCCACCATTTTTCATGAAACCTCAAGTAACTCTGTGTACATGAACTGTGGTGGGAAACTCCCCCCCTTCCCCCACAGATTAGGTTAAAAATAAACACCACCCACTGTTTGCCATGGAATCCAGGTTTTTTTTTAACTTGTAGACATGTGCCGTCATTTGAAGTATTTTAGAAGTGTCTGTCATTAAGCACAACTGGAATGAAAAGATTCTAACATAAATGGGATAATATTCCAATTGGATGACTGCCAAGGTAGCTATGTCGTCATTGAAATGCATTCATAAAGGTTTGTGTTGCAGATAAATAGCCCCCTTCTGAAATGCTACAACTCCAGGCATCAAGTGAAGATGTTTCCTATTCTAATTACAGCAGCCTCTGCTGATCTCTGGCCCTGGACATTTCATGGACATTTTGGCAGTCCAAGGAAGAGGAGATTCTTGTGGTTGTCTTGGAGTAACTCTCTACTGTGGCCCTGAGGGAAATGTAGTTGTTAGACTCAGAGCACAGCCAGTGCTACTTTTTGTGACCAGATACGGTTATCGAAGTACACTGTTGCAAAGGAGAGACTGCCTGGATGGCATTTTGGCCAGAATCGATTAGTTCTTCAAGGACTAGCCTTTTTGGTTGACCTTATCGAAGAATTCCTCAATCGCTCTAGCTCAGCTAAAGTTACCATGAGCTGGGTTGAAAGTTAAATTATGTGGCTTTCCGTGAAACATGAAGATGATCTGAGTCCAACAGATACTTGGATTACCCAGTTATTCCTTTCATTTTGCCCTTTTTCACCTTGATGTCTTGATAGGAAGCACTGATCTTTAGCTAAATTACCTAGGAGATTGAACACATTCGGAGGGCAACCAGAATATGGAAATCTAGATTAGTTTCTTTAGTTTGTTATCCTGTAAATTTTCTGAATATCAGTATCATTGGGGGAAAAACATTTTTCCTCTCTCTTGGAAGAGGAGAAAAAGATAGGATCGAAGAAATGGAAAGATGGAAAAGGACAGGACAGAAAAGATGGAAAAATGTGTAACACTGCTTCAGTAGAATAATAGATTGAGACTTAACTCCCAGAATTTTGCTTTAATAGCTGTCTATATCCAGGTCATTTCAGTGTTGAGGCAATTTTTATTGGAAAAAAGGACCAAAAGTCTTCACAGTACACAGGCATTGTTGATTTCATCATGGTGCAGAAGCCAATGTTGATTTTAAATGTTTTTGAAGTATTATAGAATTATTTTTAATAGTAATAATAAACACTGATTTTAAGGAAGTATTGCTAATCAAATTATATATTCACTTTGGGAGTACTGCAAAGAAATCTTCCGATTTTTTTAAAATAACAAAGCAACTGGGAAGTTGCAGGTTTATTCAACAAAATAGATTTTTTGGCAATATAAGCATGTTAATGTCTGAGTTTTTCATAATTGGGAAGATTGCTTCTTTTGTTCCAGCTGCAACTGAATTAAACAAAATATCCTTTTGGTTTCTTTTTTGGTAAAACACAAATATACACTTTGGAATCTTAAGGATGTAACATCTTGAGGTGCCATTCCTGAATATATCTGTATGTTTTTCATTTACATACCCTGTCTTTATTTTTTCTCAACTACATGCCTAATGCTCCTGTTTTGTTCTATTTTTCTCTTCGCTATTTTAGCAAGAAACATTTTGGAAATGTTAGCACATTTTAAGTTTCACTGTTTTAATATAAATGAAATAATAGTACAAAACTTTACAGATATTGTTTATTAAATGAAACTAGAAGCCAGTTAACATTTGCACTGAATGGTGAGGTGAAACCTGAGCAGCTACGGTAGTTACACTGCTAATTTGGCCATCAGGTGTGCTTCAAAGAAAAGGTGTCAAGGCAACATTTTTGCAAGGCTTCCTTAATAAGCAACATGGGAATAACATTCAACCTGACAACACAGCTGAGCTGCAATACACCATTTATGTTCCAGAAGTTGCAGCAAGTATCTTTGCAAGTGTTGAGACATCTGGACCAAACGGGAAGAATGGCCAGCATGCCAGTAAAATGAAGCAAAGTATTAAAAAATTTGGCTGCCCATTTGAAAAATCGGGAGGAATTGATATTTACGTATACAAGGACCAACTAAGACTACAAACAGGATTCAGTGTTTTATTATTTAACCCTTCAAAGGTCAATTGTGATCTTTTGAAGTACCAAGATGAGCCATTCTCCGGAACAGAATTAAACAGAGAACGTCTGGAGGGTGATATTAAAGGGGTCATTTGCCAAAAACATAACGATGTATTCACTCTGTCACATCAGCTCTATGTTTGTCCCCATGATATATTCTGTGGACCTCTTTAATAAATCTTGAGCATCAAAGAGTATCTGTGACTTACAAAATGACCCTTTCTAATTCCCTTGACTCAAATCCCAGATTGATGAGGGGCTTCTTCACTACATACTGTTGTGGCTCCTTTTCCAACAAGCCAATTGCATGAAGCATGCATGGGACCAAATAAGATTTGCCCTTTTTAAAGAATAAAAAAACCAAAGATGCTCGCCATTATGTCAACAACCAAAAAGATTAAATTAAACACAGTCCATCAAAGGCTGAACCGAACCGTAGTTTAAAAGTAAGAAAAAACAAAACCGTATTTAAAACTAGCAGAACTATGCTGTGTTCTTAGCAGGGTCATCCTTGTTTCTTCGCTTTACATCCCAATTATAAACTCTGGCCATATCTGCAGACAGAGATTAAGGAAGGTATGGTTCAAAAGCAGACACAATTCCCTGGCATTTTCCGGCTTCGCTGGCACTAAGGCAGGTTTATTTATCAATATAAAGTGCTCCTTAATGGTGCTTAGAGAATAGAAAAGCTGATTTTCCCAAGCCAAGGCCTTCCAGGTGGATTTGAAATTTCCATAACTCCATAGCCAACACAGATAGACCAAGGAGTGCTGGTAACAAATTTCAAGGAGGCTTTTTCACTATCCCCTGCAAAGTTCCCCTTTTAGGACATCCTGGATCCCCTGCTTGTCTGGAGAAGCAGCAATGCTCCTTTGAATCAAAATGCTCTCAACTGAGAGGATAGAATATTAACAACCAGATAGTTTATTCATGTATGGTTTTGAAAAATCTGCCTGCTGATATTTGTTTATAGGATCAACCTCTTCACCGTCTACTAAATATAGATATCGGATGAAATTCTTCCCACATCATGCTTAAGTAGCAGCTTATAATGATACAGGGGATGATTACTCCAGGCTCCAATTCATTAAAAGAGAAAATAGCTTATTCTATTAATAAACAGCCCAGTGAGAAAATAGCAACAATTCAAGAATGAACATAGAGATAGGCAGAGAGAATAAGCAGTCTACTCAGTAATGCAATGTATTTTCTATACCTGCTTCAGAAATATAAAAGACTGTTTGGAATTTCTCCTGAAATGGAGCCCTAAAATAAGCAATATTTTAACGAAGCACCTGGAGGATCCATTTGCTTTTCTGTAGAGCAGGGGTCCCCAAACTCTGGGCGGTGGCCCATTATTGGGCCACAGCTATTGGTAACAGGGCCGCGTAGCATCAGGCCAGTGTGCCCGCTCATGCATGCAGCTCAACTCGTGCGAGCGGTGGGCTGGCGCATGTGTGCAGCTCAACTTGCGCAAGTTGAGCTGTGCTTGCATGCTGGCCTGTTGCTCACATGGCCTGATTTCCCCTCCCCTCCCCCCGCCCCGCCAAGCTTCAAAGGTTGGGAACTGCTGCTTGTAGAGAAAATAGTTTGAAGTCCACACTGAATCTGCACATTATCAAAAAAAATAAAAATAATATGCTAAAGACTTAAGTTTATGCAAGGCAGAGGAGCTTTGTTATCAATGATCGAGGTAATAGGGATCATTTTTTCCCCCACAGACCCTACATTGGTTATGCATCCACTGTTTTTAAGTGGATTTGATGGTACCTAGCTCCAAGAATCCACTTTGGCTGAAATACACCTCAGAAATACAACTCTTGGAACTGCAATTCCTTGATACCTGGTGCTGCCTTGAAGTAGCTGAGTGCAAATGCAATGAACAAGCAGAGGTACACCCAACAAGACCATTCCAACCTAACTTTTGAAGCTCAAAAAGGATACTGACTTCTGTAGTTGTAAATTGATCTCTAAGGAAATCCAAATCTTCTTCTAGGGATTCAAGGTTTTTTGTAGCTGTGCTAAGATTTTTTTCTAGCAGTGCCTGGGCTTCGTCAATATCATATTCCAGCATAACATTGGCCTAAGGGCAGCATTTAAATGAAAACATATTTTTATGATTCCTTAAAGTCAAGGTAGAGTTGAAGCTCAGCTTTTGCCATCTGGAAGATGCTGACCTCCATTCATACCAGCTCTAGGCATAAGTAGAGGCAGGTAATTGGGACTAGGAACAGCGAACTTGCCCATTCTTCTCTATTGGTCTTGGTGAACTTAATACCAGTTATCAGCAAATGCCTGTGGAACCCAAAACCTGACACCTGTTTATTGAATCTTGAAAACTGCAAAAATAATGGATTCAGCTAATCTTTGAACTGTGCCATGAAGATGAGAATCATGTTACTGACCAGCAATTTTAATTCTTAACTCATACATTGTTTCAGGATATAACTCTTTGTTTGGCAAAGATTTCCAAGCTGGCAAACTATGTTTTACAAGGAAGCCATGGAAGAGAATTACACATTATAGTTTGCCATATCAGATATAATAAACAGAAAATAATAAAAAAGGAAGTTTCAGAGTTTAGTCTCAAACTACAAAGCAAAGTTTGGTGTCAGCATCTAAAATAAGTTTGCTAAAATAACATCACTGGGCTCCCTTTGAAAATGGCTTAGGTATTCTTGTGATTTTAAAAAAAAACTAGTCCTGTCTTAAAAGACATATTCCTACCATGTAAGCAAATAAGTTACATTAATTTATTACTAGAAAATTCCCAATATGTTACAACCATATTTAGAACTACTATACATTCAGCATTGGAAGAGGTGCTTCACTTTCTAATTACTTACCCCTAACCAGAGACAAACTTTATCTGTAGGAGGAACTGATGCTTTACAGTAGACATTATCTGCCAATAAGAATCTGGTTTCCATCAGATCTGTAGATTCCTTTGGAAAAGACAAATCAACATAATCAAATCAGTGGCCTATAGAGTACGTTTAATTTTCTATCATGATGAAAATACTTAAGATCTAAAGCTAACCTGTTTGTTATAACTAATGGCGCAGTGATCTGCACAAGATAGAATATTTCAAATTCCTAGAATTTGTCTAGGAATACGTATACTGCTTAGAGTTAATGAATTATTTCATTTTTCAATTGTACATGGAAAATGATGCTATATTTCCAAAGGAATTCACTCAGATAAATATTATGACTCAAAAGTGGTTAGGGTTAGCCGTAAAATTGGGCATGACTCCCTTAACGACCACCTTGCTTACCTATGGAAATTCTGGGCCCAATTGTGGTGTTAAGTCAAGAACTACTTGTACTTACCTTCTTCTTTTGCATGTGTTTTAAGATCTCTAATGTCTGTTTAATTTCAGGAATTTGACCTTTTAATCTGTAAAATAAAACATTTAAAATATTATTTTTATCATTCTTTATTTGGAAAAAAATGCCCAACATTGTGATTCATACTAAAAGTGTAGAAAGTAAAGAAGATGACCTTGACAGAAATATACAGGAACTGTTACCTAGGCAAAAGAGACGAAGCATTTTTTAAGTTTTGAAAGATGAGATAACATTCAGAAGTGGCTCAGGCAGACACTTCCCTGATTCACTGGAGTAAAAGAAAGGCACAATCCGACTTGCAAGACTGTAGTATTATAGCTAATCTTAATAAAAGTAGTTTTGTTTTAAGCCTTCTATGGAATTGATTTCCTGGACGGTCCAACCACCTGGGCTGGCAATAAGTGAGACAGTGGATCTTAAACTTTCTTAGGAAGAAAACAGCTGAGTCACAAATAAGTTACTTGCACTTACCATTGTGACTATGCATGACGATCCCTCACACAACACATAAAAAGTAAAGCATTCTCTTCAGATATAAATGTAAGAAACAGGACCTATTGTCAGTTTACCTACCTCTGAGCTGATACAGCATTTTTTAAAAAAATAACTGTCACTGTTCCCATTATTGAATGGCGAATGAGCATCAAAAGCTCTACTTGTGACAGAATAATTGTTTTACTATATTTCAGTGCATTTTATTCAATTTCTTCTGATAATCTCAAATGTATTTCAGGATACACAACATATAGATGTGCCCTTATGAATATATGAAAATTAGTAAGCACAAAGTTAGTTATAAATATCATCACCTAGATGAATATGATGATTTGAAGACTTCCTGTAGAGGGAACAGGTTATGTATTAAAAAGTTCATATTTCAGTTGCTTATAAAGATATGTATGTAGGCAAATATTACTGGAAAGAAATATCTGAAAAGTTTAACGAAAGAATTTACACTATATTATGCCTTGCAGAGAAGTGTCCAAATTTTAGAACAGCCCTTGTAAAAGTTATCGTAAACATACCCACCTTCTTTTCTTCTGGGCAAGGTTAAGCTCCATAAATTTATATTTTTGATACTGTTCATCCAGCTTCTTGAGTACTACATCTGCTGTTTCATTTCCTGGCTGTTTCATGAAAGAATCTACATCTTCCTTAAAGTAAGAATACACATATATGGTTAATTCCAAAACCACATCATCAGGCTGATGAGCCAATAATTTTTTCATTTGCTTTTTTTCATATCCTGGCAAGAAGGATTGGCAAAATTGGATAATCGGCCCATCACTGAAATGCTTTTGGGTCTGCTCCTCAAAATCATTTCCATCTACTGGTTCACTTAAGTCTCTCTGGTTAGCTGGGAACCTAACACTGGTGGAGGAGAAACAAAAACAAAGCACTGAACTAAACTCCTAGAAAATGTATAGACCTGTTCATGCTCTTTCCTAGGCAACTACACAATGGGCTTCTTCCAGAAAGTTTCCTGTCTTCCCAGATTGGTCCAAACCAAGAGCATTACATCATAACAATAGAGTAACAGCCTAGATTTAACTCTCTCTTTGGTTACAAAATTAGCTGGGAAATCTTGGACTGATCATTATCCCTCTGCTTAGCATATTTCATGAAGGATTTTTTTTTTAAAAAAAGAACTAGGTGGATGAAGAACCAGCAGTCAATGGAAAAGATCCTGCATACTACATTCTAGGAAAGATGGCAGATGAGTATGTTACAACCAAGGAGGTATTTTCTGTATTAAAACAGAAAGATTCTTAGATCCAAAAATTGCTCTGCCAATCAGGTTTGTGATACAGGAGCTTAAAACCAGGAATGCAATAGCTCCATTCAACTTTACTCCTTCAGCATCTGACAAGACAAATATTTACAAGAAGCCTGCTTTTTTTGGGGGGGGGGGTTGTTTTTTGTGCCTTTAAACCTGTCTTGATCTCTAGTAGCCTCCTGGATGAGTCCTGCAGTGTGTTTTGCCTTGCCTTCTTTCTTCCTGGATTGAGAATGACCGGGACCACAGTTAACTGGCTAGCTTTGCGTCTAAGGTTGGATAGGACTCCTGATGTCTAGCCTGGTGCCTTAGCCATGACCCCCAAATGGCTCTCTACTGAAAGTGGTTTATGCTTGCTTGTCACGCTACTTTCTTCATAAGGCTATGACGGACTGCCCCAACATCCTCCAGTTATCTTCATTTCATAGGCAGGACTGGAACTCAGTCTCCCAGTTCCTAGTCTGGTGCCTTCAATCCCAATGCCAATTGCCAACTAACTGCCTTTGCCTTTAAGTCAGTCTTGACTCTGGGCAATTGCCTAGATGAGTCCCTGCAGGGGCTCTTTTGGGCAACGTTTTTGGAAGTGTTTTGCCAATGCCTCCTTCTTGGAGATGAGGGAAAAGGAGTGGCCCAAAATCACCCAGCTGCTTTTGTGCCAAAGCTAAGGCTAGAACTCACCATTTGCTTATAATTAGCCCAAAGTCACCCAGCTGGCTTTTATGCCTAAAGCGAGACTAGAACTCACAGTCCCTGACGATTGGCCAAGAGGCACCCAACTGGCTTTCATGCCTAAGGCAAAACTAGAACTCATCTTCTCCTGGTTTCCAGCCTGCTTTCTTTGACTCCTGAGCCAAACTAGCTCTTGACCACCTCAGCTTCCATAAACTTCCGCAATCTCCTTTTGAAACCACTTTCAGTCCCATCCTTACACTGCAGGGTACACATGCAAGAAAACTAAACTTCCCCCAAGCATTCATTTCCAGCGTTATCTGCTGGGGATGCTCCCTCAAAGAGAACAAAGAGAGGAAAGAGACCAGCCAGACGCCTGTTGCAGTGGATGCCCTGGATCTATAGAAGCAAAACTGGACTAGCTCATTTATAGGAATTGTTTATTTCTTTTATATCCTGCCTTTATTATTTTTTACAAATAATTCAAGCTGCCTAGATTAGCCCCAGAGCAAGATAGGTGGCAAATAAATTTAACAAACCAATAAAGTGGCAAGCATTCCTTCTCCTCTTATTTACCTCGCAACAACCACCCTGTGAGGTGGGCTGGGCTGAGAGAGAGAGAGAGAGGGATTGGCACAAGACGGTCTTGGAACAGAATAGAGCCTCTACCTTCAAAGGCAGTATACCGGTAAATTAGGCAGAACCCCCCCATCATCACTTCTTTTCCAAGAAACAGGATCTTTCCCCAATAGGTGCCCTTGAGCAGCTCCCACGGACTACAGCGCCCAGAATCCCCAGCCAAAGCTGCGGGAGTCACCACCCGGACCGCATTTGGGAAAGATCGCCGCTTCAGCCCTTTCTATCCAGGCACAAGCCCCGAGTAGCCTCGCCGATCCCGCTCGGAGAGGAGCCTCCATGGAGACAGGCAGTCTATCTCCAACGGCCGGCCGCGCGGGCCGTAACCGCCCCTGACAGAAACGGAGCGCGCATGCGCAGGAGAAAACGGGCGGTTGGAACGTCGCCGTCGCTTTTTCCCGCGTCCCGGCCGCTTCGCCGAACCTTTCCCCGCTCCCTTGCTTACGACGAAAATGGCCTCGGGGATGCCCAGGTGACCCCTCTTGCCGACATCGCCGGTGCCGCTGGCCGGGCCGTCGCCACAAATCGCCTCGCCGCCGGTGGCCGCCGCCATCTTGGGGAGGGAAGGCGACCGCGGCTGGCGCGCGCCGTCACGCCCGCGCTCGCATGCGCGGTAGAGGCAAAGGCGGGCAGGGGGGGGGGGGGGGGGGGCGTTACCAGGTGTCACAATCGAGGCGGGCCCTAGCGCTCCTATTGGCTGAGGAGGCGCGCGCGCTTGCCCGGCCCCCGGGGATTTGTTCGGGGCGAGGTTCGCTGGCGGAGGGGGCATCCCCGACTAGGATGGCAACGAGGCTCCTTTGGCTTTCAAGAATGGTGGCTTCTTCAACAAGCCGGAATGGACTGGTTGAGGGGAGAAGTTGCAGAGCTGGTTAAGGCTGAAATGCATCGGAGGGACAAGAGGAGGTTGCAATCTCAGTTCAGCGCAAATACCGAGTTGTTTATGCACCGCAGACATACATTCCTTGCACGTCCACTCACTCTTGGCCAATATTCTCTCTCTCTTCTCTTCCTACTCCAGATTCGTAACTGCAAAAATGGACCTTTAGCGTTTTCCACCTTCTTTCGTGTGTTGGGGCGATGCCGGGTGACCCGACATCCACTTTGCATCCTCCACCTATGCACTGCCCTTCAGATAAGCTCAGTGTGGGGTTTATTTATTAGACTGTTTCCCATTCTTTATTCCTTCTTTATTAGTTATTTATTAGACTGTTTCCATTCTTTATTCCTTCTTTATTAGTTATTTATTAGACTGTTTCCCATTCTTTATTCCTTCTTTATTAGTTATTTATTAGACTGTTTCCCATTCTTTATTCCTTCTTTATTAGTTATTTATTGACTGTTTCCATTCTTTATTCCTTCTTTATTAGTTATTTGACTGTTTCCCATTCTTTATTCCTTCTTTATTTATTTATTAGACTGTTTCCCATTCTTTATTCCTTCTTTATTTATTTATTTGACTGTTTCCCATTCTTTATTCCTTCTTTATTATTTATTTGACTGTTTCCCATTCTTTATTCCTTCTTTATTAGTTATTTATTAGACTGTTTCCCATTCTCTAATTTTGAAGACCCAACTCTCTGCAAAAGGCTACTAATGCTGGGAAAGGTGGAAGGAAAGATGACGGCAGCAAGGTGGAAGAACTCGGTTGCAGCATTGCAGTGGCATTGAGGGAAGGGAGTTGGCTGACTTGAAAGGGTCAACCTGTTTTCTAAAGCTCCTGAACAAGAAGTCATGGATGGAAACAGCACAGAGAAGCAACCTAGAACCAAGGAGAAATTTCCTGATAGTGAGAACAATCAACCAGTGGAACAGCTTGCCTCCAGAATTTAGGATCCTCCACACTGGAGGCTTTTAAGAAGGAACTGGACAATCATTTGTCTAAAATGGTACAGGGTTGTAATGGCGAACCTATGGGACGCGTGCTGCCCGTTACTCTTCTGGGTTCTGGTGCACCAGCTGGTCTTTGCATGCGCAGGAGCACCGAAAACTGGAAGAACAGCTCCCTGGCATGCATGCGCACACTGGGAAGCTGAGCTTCTGATTTCCGGCGTGCCAGCTGGTCTTCGCACATGCATGCATGCCAGAAACTGGAAGACCAGGTGACCGGCATGCATACGCCAGGGAACTGCTCTTCTGGTTTCCAGCGCTCGCCCACGCACGCACGCACGCACGCTCCCATTTCGGCACTCGGTGCCAAAAAGGTTCACCAACACAGGTATAGGGTCTCCTGCTTGAGCAGAGGGGTGGATTAGAAGACCTCCAAGGTCCCTTCCAACTCTGTATTCAAATTAGGGACAGATCATTGTGGAGAAAATTGCTAGGAGTTGAAAATGACTTGATGGCATAGAATGGATCAATTTTAGACTTGAGATCCAGAAAGTCCTTAAAGCATGTGGATGCAATGCAGCAGTAATGGGGAGCAGAATCTGCTTTGCTTTCCAGGCCCTTTGAAGTAATCTTAATGAGGCATCATCTAGTATGGTTGGACTACAATTCCCATCACGTAAGATAAAATATGAGACAAAATGCAGGCCATCTAACTTAGCAAAGGCTGATGCTAGAATTGCTTTAAGATTACTCTCTGAAAACTAGTTCAAGCCCCAAATTAGATACTCTCTGCTGACACCTTTGAAGGATTATTAGGCATGGTCTCTTCTGCTAAAGGTTTACAGTATATTAGATTAACATGATTGAATCTTCTAAGGAAAGGCAGTTTTCTTTAAACAAAAAACTTTCCTCTTCAACAGCACTGAGGGACTTGGCATCTGATTAGCTAATGTTTCGATTGTGCAAAATTAAAGATTATCAAATTGAATACAAAACAGAGTCAAAACACTTTGTGCCAAAGTTTATTTTCCAAAACCTGTTTCATTAACAAAATGGAGTCTATACAATAGTCTCAACCACTTCCTTGTTTTATATGCTGTCAAGCCAGTTAGCGCCAGAATCTTTGAAGTGTTAACATGGCAAACAAAATATTTCAGAAAAATATTGGTTGGGGATGTGTGTGTGCTTAAACTGAAAAAGGTTTTGATGGCTAGATGTGTTCTCCGACACTTTTGCAATCTAACATGAGCTGGGCAAAATAAATACTTTGAGAAGTTCAAACAGAAAATCACAATATACTTAATTTATATTTCAAATGTTGAACAAAAATGTCAACTTAGAAAAACATTTCAAATATGAAAAAATACAAACACTTTTGCAGAAATTAAGCATTTTCAAAATAAAGGTTACATTCCTTCAATAGTGCCTTACTGACACAAAAAACATCTTGGAATTTTAATTGTACTTGGATTTTAGGCTTACAATTACTTCAAATAAGATCTACATACAAGTATCAATCCTGGTAAATTGCAATTTACAACTAAATGGTTCAAGTGGTTTTCACTAGAACTACTGTACGAAGTTCACAATAATTTCAGTTAATGAATGAGAAATTGGTGTGAATAACCGTACATTCTTATTGTATTCTAATTGAACATTTTGTTATTTGGCTACAGATACTCAGACAACATTCAATAACTTTATCATCTGTCACCCAAGTAATATGGCAACTACTTCTGGCCTTTGAATTCTAAAAATATGCATTTTGGAGAACCAAAGCAAAAATCTTATAAGGTTTTCCACTTACTGCCTTTGTATTCAACAGTTCCGTATTTTTTTTGAATATCATTGGCTTCCTATAGGCAAGAGCTGTAGGGTAGCAAGGAGACCTCAAATTGTAGGCTTTACTTACAAAGTATCTTTACCTTCATTTCCAGAACAGGTTGGTAGCAACCAAGTAATTGTATTGGTGGTGCAGATACATACTTTGTAAAAAAAAAACAAAAAAAAACAATGGCTCACAGGTTAGCTAGAATTACAAGACGGACAATTTGCCACAATTTACCCTGCTTCCACCAATATTGGATGTGTGTCATTGGCTCACCAAGTTCACTGACAGAAATGACAGGCAACATTCTCTCCTTGGCTGTGCCAATCTACTTTTACAGGGAGGCTGTCTGGCACCAAGAGACAAGCACAAGAGGGGTTTTCCACAGCTGTAGTTGTGGGAATGACTTAGCTCATTTTTCCTGGCTCTTCAACAAAAAAGGCCCTACAAACTAGACACCACAAGAAATGTGAGTTGCATTTTATGTGCTTCTTTTAAAAAAAAGTGGGGGGGGGGTTAGGGGCAGAGCTGCAACTCTTTCCTAAATACTGCTATTTGTACAGGGAACTATGATGCTTTTGGCAACTTGGGGGTTTCACAACTGAATCAGTACCTAGCCAATCTTAGCTGAACTAAAAAAAAAAACTTAGGGTCAGTACTCGGATGTATTAATTAGAAATTAGAATTAAAAGCCGTCAGGCTGTAGATTAGATAGGAAGTTACACATACAACACACCCAAATTAGGCCGCCACAAACACTTCCACAAAGCTATCCCAAAATGTCCGTTTAATCTTCAGGAGTTAAGAATGACTCAAGGGGTTTTCACCTTTTTGGCACAGAATTTTTTTTTCCTTTTGAGCAGTGCCTGTGGGGCAGGTCTTAGACTCCTCACTGCATATCAGTATTTTGATCCACACCCTGTTCTACCTGACAGCTGTTTAAAAATGAAAGCAGGAAATGTGACCTTTATTACTTCATTTGCCCTTCCAACTCTGCCAATTCACCCTCTAGATCAGTGTTTCTCAACCATGGCAAACTTTAAGATGTCTGGACTGCAACTCCCAGAACACCCCAGGCAGTCGTCTGGCTGGAAAATTCTGGGAGCTGAAGTCCTCACAAGTTGCTATGGTTGAGAAACACTGATCTAGATCAGGGGTGTCAAACTCAAGGCCCCACAGGGTGCTTAGATCTGGCCTGCAGGGCCACCCTGGAAGCAGCAAAGGACTGGCCCGTGGTGCTTCTGCCAGCGAAAACTGCTCCCAGTCTCCGTTTTTGCTGGCAGAGCGCTCAGGCCACCACCGGCGCGCCCAACATGAGTGACGTCAAGCTGGCCATGCCCACCCTGGCCATGCCAACACCAGCCCCTCGAGGTCAAACACAACCCTGATGCAGCCCTCAATGAAATAAAATTTGACACCCCTGATCTTGATAGAGAAGCTCAAACAGAGGTCAACTGCCAGATACACAACCAACGCCTTCCCAAGTGAACAGAGTACCTGAGATGGGGATCTCCAGATCTTGCTCAACAGCAGCCACTATCAATATGAGTAACAGTAAAGGATGCTGAGAAGTAGCATCATCTTGGAAGACTATTCAAAAGCTCCTCACTGCAAGCTTGCTGATGGGTGTTTGTGCTCCACTAATTCAGCCTGGTGAGTTAGTTCAAGACTAAGCTACTTTCGCTTCACTCTTACCTGCTTAAATGGGAATCACATTACAATCTTTTTTAGCACCATTCAAATGCCATTACTATAGTCTGAGTCCAATTCTACACATGGCCTAAAATCTGCGTTAAAGCTTAGCTAAACTGCAAGCCTCCTGCGGGTTTTATAGCAAAACACTTGGGAGGAAAAAAAGAAAAATTGCTGCATGACTGGCTCAGGAATTCTGGGAGTTGAAGTCCACAGGTCATAAAGGGTCCATAGTTCCCCACCCCTGCTCTAAATCCTACAACCATTGGATACACGAATACAAATACATCCAAAGATTTATCAGTTTTGGAGAATACTACAGAAACATCTGTGAAAGACTGGGACAAAAGGAAAAGAGAGACTGCACCAGTTATTACAATATTTAAAATGAGTGTCAGACAGCCGTAGAGAAAATTGAGTGACACAATACGTTTTTCAATCGGTACCTGACAATCAAGAAGTCAAAGTACACCAGAATCAGAAGCAACTTTCTATTTCTAAACATTTTCTAGAAACTGCAGTGAAAACATGTAGTTTCCCTAACTCAAAAATATAATCTTTAGAATGGAAATAAGCGAGCAGTACACAAAGCATTTCAGCATTATCCTCAAAATGTATACTACTTGAGGAAAAAGGATTCCCTTTCATTACAAATAAAAGCACTGATCCACAGTGCATTCTACTCAAAAGCTGATATCCCAACAAATTCTCAAACCACACCTGAAAAAAGAGCAAACCAAACCAAAAAAGCAAAACAAAACCAGATTCTGTACACCCTGTATTCAATTTTAAAGTTAACACCTCCCTCCCCCAAAATAGTCTTGCCTTAAAAAATGGTACTCATCCTTACTATATACAGAGGACTAAAAATATTTATTGTTCTTTGTAAAATGTGTTATTTAGAAAGAGGAACCTTCAATTCAGAACAGACTTTTTCAAGTATGACAAAATCTAGCTTTTCCCCCCATTTAGGGCCAGCAGTGGGATGAGAAGGACAGTCTGACTGGGATGCCAACATGCCACACGCCAATCAGGAGACACACACAGGGCTTTGCTCCAAAATGTTAGTATTGGACAAATGTCAGTATTGAAACCGGCTGCAGGACGTTTCTCTACACCAAGTTAATTTCTGATATCAAAGAACTGTTGGGGAGGGGGCAAAGGTATTTAGAAGATGGCCCAGGGAGACGGAAGCAAAGGCAAAAGAGAGTGCGTCTTCTGTCACTTCATTTCTGGATGCCATTTTAAGACCACATACATGCCCAGCATCCTATGAGAGATATTGCTACTGTGCATGGTGCTGAAATAACACACTAGGGTGCCCAAAGGCATTTTCTAGAATCTCACTCAACTTCCTAAAAGCCAGATAGCAGCCCAGCTCTGCCTAACATGGAATTGTGGCTGTGCAAAGGTTCCACACAAGCAGCTGGCCATCTTCAGATCCATCCTGCTTCTTTTGGAAAAAATCAAAACCCCAATGTTTTGTTAGTATTGTAAGGGGGTGGGGGGTGGGGGCAAGAAATGACCCTGACATACAAAACCTTATTAATGTATGTATGTGCAACACAGAGATCTCCTTTTCTTTTGATAAATGTCATCTCTGAATATCTCAGGAGTTCATTTTGTTCTGCTATCTTAATTTTGGCAAATCATAAAAGCAGTATTGACAGCTAAACCCAGGACGTTCCAATTTCAGACTGAGATTACTTGCAAATAAGTTCTGCTGGATTTAACTGGGCTGATTTCCCAGTAAATAATAACGGGTGGCATAAAACAGGCACATTTGTCTTAATTTGGGTTGTTTTTTTCTTTTTTCTTTAAATAGAAACCTTAAATTCACCACTGGTCTAAAAAGAACATTGTAATGGGAAGCATCCTCTCTCTTATAGCAAACATTTGAGAACTAGAAACATTTGCAGTAAAAATGTTAATGGGTAAAATATTACATTCATTACATTATACTAATCTTCTTTAGCGTCACCAGTATATTTACAAGTACATTTTCAATACTGGATAGGCAAATGCCAATTTTGAATATGATTTTTCTCCTTAAATGTATTATTATTTTTATATACTTCATTGCTGTGGAGCACAAAAGAACACAAAGATGGAACTTCCTAGTCCCTCTTTAAAGCTGCAGCGTCTTTTCCTGAGGCCATGAGCAAGAGCCACCACACAATCCTGCAAACTCAAGTGCTCTACAGAATTGCAGCCAGGTGTTGCATTTGTGCACCTATTGGGATTTATTCCTGAAAGTCTGCATAGCTCTAATGATAACCCAAGGCATATGAAACCAGGGGTGTTACGGTCTTAGTTCACGTGCTTAAGTCTCAGATTGGAGTGTTCCTGGATTTAGCTGGGATACCGTTGATTGATAACGTTCTAGGAAGTTCACCTCGATCTATAAATAAATATATAAAATCAGGTAGAGGGGACTGTTTTAAGTATGCACAACATATACACTTACTGTCCAACGTGTCAAGACCATTCAACTATAACAACACTAAAATCACTGTAAACAACCTTTAGCCAACTGGAAGTTGAAAATGGTACAGTTGCCTGTACAATGGTAATTTCTGGCATGAAGACAGAAAATTCCAACTGTGTCAGGTGCAAAAACACTTGCAATAAAATTAACTCAGACCACTTACCGAGGTCTACTGTTTTTTTTTATTTTTTAAAGATCTTGCAATCTTGCAGCAAGGAATTGCAATGCTGCACCCACCGTCAGGAAGACAGGAAGAATCCAATTTTTCAATGCAGGGGTACTTCTGCCAAACTGTTCTATGAACGCAATTCCTGTCCTGCCAGCTCTTCAGTGCAGTCATAAGCACTACCACCCAGGCCATGATGCCCTAATGCCAATTTTTCCACTCTCCTCTCTTGTGCCAGTTTAATGGGAGGGGGCAATTCCAGGACACAGTGGCTGGTCAGGAGATAACAGACAACTCCCACCTTGTCTAATTAAAGGTCTTATTTAAACATCACCCAGAGAACTACATACTAGAGATTACTTCCAATTTCAAAGCTAATATTTACACCTGATACACAACTAGGGACAGCTGCGGTTCGGAAACCACTGCTTGACAGAATAAAGCTTACTGTCTAAAATCAGCTAAAATATAATCACATCCAGGACTTGGATATGATAAAAATAGAAGCCTCAAATTAAACCTGTTAAAGATGGGATGAAATCCTGATAGAAATCACACAGTTCAAAGGCGTAAAAACACATCATCATGTTATCAACTGCAGCTCACGGACGGTGTTATTCACAGGGTCAACTGGACATCATGTTTATTTAGAAGATCACTGTGGAGAGGTGTAAGGAGAATACAATCTTTTGTGTATCTTCTGAGAAAGAGGTTGTTACTGGTTGTGTGTGAACTGGTTAAAGGTTTTGCAGGCACAGGAGGTTGTGCATGTTCAGAGTGGCTGAGCTGCAAGTACCTTAAGCTACAGAGAAATTAAAGTCTATTTTTATGAACTGTGCTGGACATGAAATAGAAGGAGGAATTTGTAAATATCAGAAATTTTATACATCAATATGTTGCAATGGGAACATTGTGGTTATTATTTTGAATTATTATAATTACAATAAAATCAGTAAATACACATAATATTATATCAAGCAATAACATAACATACTTCCATCTGGAGAGTTTCTCTCTCTCTCTCTCTCTCTCTCTCTCTCTCTCTCTCTCTCTCTCTGATGAGATGGATATTGCAAGATGTTCCTTGCTGTAAAATTGCAGCCAGTAAATGTAATAAATTAAACATAATTAAAATTCCATGATTAGACAATAATCTCTGGGAGTTAAAAAGCTTGCTGCTTATATTATGGTTCACATGATCACAATGTCTGTGATAAAATATTTCTAATTACAAAACCTATGTTATTTAAAACACATGTACTGGTCTAAACTGGATTGAAAGAGTGAAAATTGATGGGAAGGCGAGTTTATACAATCTTATATGAGGATTAGTTAAATCAATGCATGAAAATATCAATTCAAACAAATCCCACAAATAAATTGCTCCAGCTTATACAGGGTCAAAATAAATACTGGTTTGGGGCAAATCTGGAGAATACATTAAAGTCAAAAGCCCTTGAAAATTCACTTTCCACATTTAATTACATGCATCCAGTTTACGTCTTTGTCAGTACATGTTGAAGATTTGGTCTAAAACATTTTTTCCACTTGCACATTTAATCCATACAAAGTTAGTGGTTACAAATTGCAAACACATATGTAAAAAATGATTCTTTCCTTTAAAAAATCATGTTTAGCTTGACAAAACAAGTATATCCTTTTTGAAGCAGGCTTTTTTTTTTTTACATTCTTGGCACAATATTAACAAACACAAAGGAGAAAACACGTATAGAGAAAAAAATGGTTTTCTGAGTTTGACATTCTGATCTGCAAAAATGTTTTTCTTTGTAGTTGCTATTAAATCCCTTTTTCCTAGGAACAAAACCCACAATTTGGCAAATGCTTGAAAGAGCAAGATCAATTGCAGTGTTTTAAGAATATCTGACAAAATAGGGGAAAATTCTATGAAAGAAGAACCATACTAGCATTATTTGATATCCTTTGTCCTGTTATTGCTGTGGTAACGGGCCTAACACCAGAAGCCTGGCAGTGATATAAAGGAGTCAACTCTTCTATTAATTAGAACTCTTCTTTGATTTTAAAAAGGGATTTTAAATCCAAATTTCTTGCAATTCCCCCTGATAATACATGCTGAACAAGCTGGGTCAATTCCCATGGTTGTTAATCTATCATTATTGTTATCATCATCATCACCACCACCAGTTTTGGAGGAGAGTTGAAAATTATGGACCATCAAGCTGTATCATCACATTACATATGCTCTCCTAAACTGCAGTAACATCTCACATATTTTCAGGAACAATAGTTTTGAGCTTTTCAATACCAAAGAAATTTGGAGCTGTATATCTTTTAAGCGGTAAATATTCATATTTTGAATGTTACAAAGATAAACAACAACAACAAAAAAAATCCTGCAATTCTGGAGAAATTCTGTCCTTAAAGGTTTACACATTATTTACAATTCTTTCCTCTAAAAAACGTTACCTTACAGGCATCTTTTCCTTGTCTCCCTTGTTGACAGAAACTAGGCTATGCCATGGATGGACCATTTAGAAATCCACCTTTCCAGTTCTTAAAGTGCACCACGGAACGTGATGAAGCACAATGAAAAATGCGTGATGCCCCTTTCAGGACAAGCAACCTCTCAGATTTACAACTTCTGGCTGACCATTTACTGGGTGTTTTTGTTTTTTTTTTTAAAGCCAGGATAGAAGTCAACTCTCACCAGAGTCAGAAACAATGCTACTCGTATAAAGTATTGCAGCTGTTGCCATTCACACCAGAACCTCGCACACTGCTCAGTAATACGCTACTCCAGCACCCCGGCCCAAGGGTAGACCTACAGCTGGGCTAAACAATCCCTCCGCTTGAATGCCAATTAATTTGTTTTCCATTAATGGCCAATTCAATTAATGCTAATGGCCCATTTAATTAAAGTTGATTCACAGCATTTGAAAACTCACAGTATAAAATCTATGAATCAGAAGAAGCCAGCCTAATATGAAGAAAAACAGCTTGGTTTCCCAAGAGAACCAACTTTTTTCACAATGCAGGATTTACTCCTGTCCGAGTATTGACTGTTTTGGGTAGTCCTTCAGAGCATCTAAAAGGCTTATTGCTCAACTTTGCTCTACAGTGCCCATGATTACATCAGCCACCGAGTTTCAGGGAGAAAATAAATAGACGTTTGAGGCTGTCCACTTGCTTACTACAGGCTCAAAATTAAAAAACAAATCCTTCCAAGGATTCCTAAGTAAGCTTGTCTTTAAAAGCAACAAAAAGTAGGATATTCTTTTTGAACCTGGATGACCTTTAGCTTCAAAATACTTAAACTTCTCGTGGAAAACAGTCTTAACCCCATCAAAACCCACATGATTTCAGACCATAGGGACTGTTATAAAAAGAATCTCTAAAGCACAGCAATTAAAATTAATTTTATAGTATACGCGGAGCAAGTATGAGCTCTGGCAAAGGCTGCAGTCTGAAAGTTTCATCTTCTCTGTACCAATTTGGTTGTCAAAGAGTCTCGTTGTTTTGGCAGATCTACATGAACTGAATCTGTAACAGAAGAAACAAAACCAAATTAAAGTTATTAACAAATATACTCAAGTTATTCGGGAGTTTCAGAAAAATCAAGTTAAATGAGAGTTTAAAAACATTAACGTGTTTTGCCCTTGCAATAGTTTTTAGCACCACCAGATAATGATAAACTCACTGCTGAAAAAGGCCATAGCAATTTTTTAAAATTTAAATATCACTTTCATAAGTCTGTTTGGTTCATTCTGAAAATGTTTACAACCAAAGGGAGGTGGAGATGAAGAAAGCATTCACCTGCCAAAGATGTGTTTCAAAAAGCAACTAGGCTTATTTGCCAAACTAGTCATTTACTTGCCAAATCTTGAAAAACCAGCCTGAAGGAGAACTTCAAGTTCTATCACAATCCAATGCTGCTTTCTGTTTTTCACATCTAACCTCTGTTGCAATTCTACTCTTATTACTGATTATGTGTTTCCCTTTCTCTTTTTTGCCTCAAAGCCGTTGGAAGTGTTTTGTTCATTTCTACCATTTCCACTTGTTTTCCTTCAGCTCTTCACCCAACTCTCCACAATCTGCAAACCAGACAGAATCTGATTTCTCGTTATCATTTATTTGATGTCTCAACTTGTGAAAGGCAGGTTTTTAATTTGTTATTGTTTTTTTTCTCTCTCTCTCTGCCTGGGTTCTCCTGGGATCTTAGGATTCTATTGTTTCTTTTTCCTCTTCTATGTACTGCTTTTATAAATCCACTCATAATCTCACCGTGAAGTGCTAACCAACTCTTATTTAAAATCTTTCAAAAAAACTTGAATGAGCTAATGACCCATCAACAAACCACTGAAGGAGTTGTGGCAAAATGCCAGTAGCAAAACATTTTAACATTCAATTCTCCTTTAGGAAAAAAAAACCACCACTAACCTGTGTTCCAGAGATAGGTGCAAAAGGATTGTTTGGCCTTAGACCGGTCTGGGTATAAATCATGGGCTGAGGTGTCATAATAGGGGCAGTTCCAATCTGAGTAGGTACCTGAAGTCAGAAAAAAGAATGAATTAAGTGATTCATTGCTCTCTCAGCTTGAAAAGTCACAATGTAATTCAATGTAAAGTCACAAATGTGAGCCAAACAATGGTATACAGCAGGGATCTCCAGATCTTCCCCAGCCAGAGATTATGCTTCCCCAGTCAGAATTCTGGGGAATTCTGGGAGTTGAAGTCCACAAGTCTTAAAGTTGCCAAGTTTGGGCATCTTGCTCTACAGCATAAACTTCCATTCAGGAGACACCATGAGGATTTTCCAAAGGACCATCTCTGGACAACTCCTGGAACAGCTGGTACATTTGCATTCACTAAAGGTGACACCGTTAGCAGGCCACTACTGCACAGGAAAAAGCAGCTCTTCTTACTAGTTGTTCAAGGAAAGTGAGACCAAACTCTAGCAACTGTCATGTTCATTTTCTTTGCTACTCTAGCAAAGTAGAACCAAATTGTATTTTAGTAACTCTATTTGAAAAATTAAAGTGGGGGTATACTCATATTCCCAACATAGTCATAATGACCACCTATCAGTCCTGGCTGAATCTTACCATGTTTCTCTGAAACTAAGACCTTTCTGGATAATAAGCTCAATCAGGCTTTTCAGTGCATGAGTTAAAATAAGCCCCCCCCCCCCCAAAAAATACCCCCCCCCCCCAACTCTTTATATACACCCAGCCCCGCCCCCCCCCTTCCCCCCTGTTGTTGCCCGCCGAAAACACCACGGGGGGGGGGGGCAAGACCGGGGGGGGGGGGGGGACAACATGCCCTCCCCTCCCTGTTCTTCATGCCGGCCAAGCGGCTGGCCGCCGCTGCCTCGTGGTGCAGGACTCTGCAAGGCTTGTTGAGCCGTTGCACATACAAATGGCAGCACCGCCGCAAGCTTCATCATACTGGCACAGCTGGCGTCCTGCCGCTCGCGGCTGAGTTGGTATGTCGAACCTCGCGGCAGTGTTGCCGTTCCTACGTACAACAGCACAAGCCTTGCAGAGTGCTGCTCCACAAGGCGGCACCAGCGGCGCAATGAGTCTCACAAAGACTCCTTTCTGACAGGTGGGGCGGGGGAGCAAGACGCGTGGAATGAGACGTGGCTCCCCTTGCCGTCTCTTCTCCCCCCCCCCCCTCCTTGCTGGGCATGGCAGGACTCCTGCCCCTTGCTTAGCCACCCACCCTCTTTAGGGATGCAATTTGGGGGTGGCAAATGGGGTGGGCGTCTTTATCTTTCAAACTCCGTCGCGTTCCTTGCTATGGTATCCAGGGAAACACGTAAAAGAAGCCTCGCGAGTTCAATCAAACCTCTCGAACTTGTGAGAACTTTATTTTTACAATGTGATTCCCTGGACACAACGGCGAGGAATTTGTATGTGCAATGACTAAAATACAGTTTGGTTCTACTTTGCTAGAGTAGCAAAGAAAATGAACATGACAGTTGCTAGAGTTTGGTCTCACTTTCCTTGAACAACTAGTAAGAAGAGCTGCTTTTTCTTGTGCAGTAGTGGCCTGCTAAGGGTGTCATCTTTAGTGAATGCAAATGTACCAGCTGTTTCAGGAGTTGTCCAGAGATGGTCCTTTGGAAAATCCTCATGGTGTCTCCTGAATGGAAGTTTATGCCGTAGAGCAGAGATGCCCAAACTTGGCAACTTTAAGACTTGTGGACTTCAACTCCCAGAATTCTGACTGGGGAAGCATAATCTCTGGCTGGGGAAGAGCTGGAGATCCCTGCTGTATACCATTGTTTGGCTCACTGGCGCAGGCACAAGCACCAGGACGCCAGCTGTGCCGGTCTGATGAAGCTCGTGGCAGTGCTGCCTCCACCCCCAAAATAATAAGACCACACACACATACACACACACACACACACGATAATAAGGCCAAGCTCTTATTTCGGGGTTCAAAAGTGAATAAGACCCTGTCTTATTTTCGGGGAAACACAGTAGTACTGTACCCATAATTATTTAGCTGTGTTGGTTGTATCTCATAATGCCCTTGAATAGCATTCAGAAGCTTCAACTAGTGCAGGATGGACCTGCACAGCTTAAAAAATGGTGTTGGTTATTCAACACGTGAACCATCATTAAGCCGAGAGCTACACTGGTTGCCAGTATGCTTCTGGGTGCAATTCAAGATGCTGGCTGTTATCTTAAAGCCCTTCATAGCTTGGGTTACTTGAGGGATCATCTTTTCCCAGTTCTTTCCACCATCGGTCTGGTAGAACAGGCATGCTCCGAGTTGGCTGGTTGGCAAGGCCCAGGAGGTGTGCCTTTTCTGCCTTAGCACATGCCCTACGGACCATTTCTCCTCAGCTATTAGGATGGCCCCACCTGTCTGACAAGGCCCCCAAAATGTGTGAAGGATCTGATCTCCTGTATGTGCTAGCATCTTGGTATTTGTGATGGGATTTGTTTTTAATATTTTTAAACATTGTTTGCTGCCCAGAATCACTTTTTGAGATGGCTTTCTGTACGAATAAATAAATAATTCTATATACCTGGGGTTCAGTCAAGATTGAGTAATCAACATGGCTCAACAATATTCAATCCCATCCAAATATTTATACACTCAAACTTCTGTGGCATATTTACTTATTAGCTTTGTTTGGATCATTATGGGATAGTCAGGAAGTATTTAATATTTGTTTCTTATTTAGGAATTATGCAAGACCCAAAGCATATCTTCTGAATGTTTGAAATTTCCACAGCTCTAACACCATTTTATAAAAAATCCTAGCAGAGAGTATGTTAGTTTTCCATTTTGCAGTTTTACTGTCCAAATACGCCTTGTCCTTAATATAAAGATTATGAATCTTAAATAAACTTCCTGAGTATGCAGATGCTACCCAATACAGAACATGTTAAACTGTCAGGTGCAAAAGGACCACATGTGAAGTTGCAATTAAACTGATTTATTACTCGTGCCTGTTCACAGGAATCTACTCAACTAATGTTTAGCACTATTTTGGCACTAATAAAAGTTAAAGGAATTTAAAGGGGGTTGGACTTAGTCCGTTTGAGGCTACATAGAGATTCTAGGCTGATTCCTTTTTAAACTCCGCCCCCGTGTTCTGTCACTTCTTCTCTATATAACCTTAGAAAATCAGACATTAAAACTGGGGGTGGATGCCAAATAAAGATAAAGCTATCAACCCTGAATAACTTACCATTCCATACACAGGCACTTGAGGTGTATTTACTGGGTAGGTTACTGGAGCAGGTACCTTTGATGGAGAATAAAAAGAATCTGCATGTAACATTTGACTATTGCCTTTTTTGAAAACTCCAAACAAAACTATTTAAAAGACATATTTTAATATGTCTGGTTGAAGAAAAAAAAACTGGATCATAGCACAGAAATGGGGAAGGAAAGAGATACGGCCAAGGCTCATTCATTTAATACCAAATTACAGTTTAAAGTTCTGCAAGTTGAAAATGTCAAAAAGTGTCAAAAGAATTTTATGGTAGAACAAAAGCTAAAATCAATCAGCTCTTTGCATTCTGGCCAACATTAAGTGTACTGCAAATACATAGAGACTTTTCTTCTGAATATATTTTAGCTGCTATACACAAACTTCACATTTTAAAAGTAAAAATTTAAATAAATAAATACATACATACATACATACATACATACATACATACATACATACATACATACATAAATTGAAATTAAAATTTAAATTTTATAAAAAATAAAAATGTAAGTACATACCATCTGTGGAGCAGGAGGTACAGGAACAGTGTTCCACGTAGTTGAGGTGCTTGTTTTTGCTTGCCAGTTGTTACCACCAGTAAGTTTCTTCTCTGTAGGCTGATTCCACTGCATATCAGATCTAAAGGGAATTGTACAACAAAGAAGTTTTATTCAGCAGTTTTATTCTATCAAGGCTTCTGCCATATTCTCATCATTACAATTAGGAGTAAGTCACAAAAATCTCTGAACAAATGCTAGCATTCCTCAGATTCATTTATTTGATTTTTATTCCACCTTTATAACTCAAGGTGCCAAACATACCTAATACCTCTTCTTCCTCTACAAACCCCTGCAAGTTGGATTGGGTTGAAAGAACAGGACTGGTCCAAAGTCATCCAGCAAGCTTTCATGCTTAAGGCTGGACTAGAACTCAATCAATCAAATCTTTATTACAGACATAAACTAGTATAAGAAGAGCTGAAATACAATGTTTTTTACAATAATGTTTCAGCTTTTTAAAATGTTTGCGTATTTTATATCTTTTTAGCTTTTAAAATTATTATTTGTATTCTATCCTTCTTAAGTTGGCCTATGATTGTAAAAAAAAATTGACTGCACTAGAATTCATTCTCCTGGTTTCTAAGCTAGCACCTTAACCACTACATCAAACTTTAGATTTTCTAAAAATAGGTATTAAAAAGTGGTGTCATTTTTTTAAATACACATTTTGCTTGGAAATGAGCTGGATGGAGGGCATTTTCGTATTATTTAATTTACCTCAAAGCCTACCCTGCCACTATGCATCAAATTGTGGCCCTGGACCAAGAGGGAAAAAATAAATAAAGGTCACTCAAAATTTGTCCAACCCCGTATTAATGCCTAGGCTTCTTTTCACTGCCGTTTTCATCACATCTCATGTCCCAAACTGCTTCCTTCAGCAAGCCGGGCAAAATAGGGAGGCAAAAATTTATTATGAATTTCAGAGATCCAGTTGTTGCTCACAATCAGCTCAACCACCTGGACATTTTGGAGATGGGCATGGTTACAGTTTTTGCTAAAGTAGGAACTCCTCAGTAGACAGGCACTTTTTGTCTTTTTGATGGCCACATTCTATGTGGAACAGGCCTCAGAAGATGTATTAAATGTTTAAGAAGGTCGGTGTCTTCTCCTATTATGGTTATGCATTATTACATGTAGTTTGCTATTTACATACAAACTGTTTGTTAGAAAAACACCACCACATTCTAAATACCTGTATATACAGCATAATGTATAATGTATATACAGAAAACCCTTTGTTTAACTGACTGGGGGGGGGGGGATTGCTAAAGGAAAACATCCATTAAGTATACTTATTTAACATACTTTGTATATCCTATGCATGCATAAAATGGAAGTTTGCACATGAGCAGAAATATGTAGTGTATGGACAGATATTTTTCTGCTGCATTTGAAGTTTGCTAAATGGAAAAGCAATACATTGAGGCCTTTACTGGGTCAATGTTTGCGTGTATCTTTTCCCTCAAGGTTAAAAGGGATTGGTTGAATACCCCCAAAATTCACAAAACTTTTCATTTTCACTGTACAAACAATGCTATTCAAGTGGGTAATTTTCTGATTATGAGATCTGTTTGAGCAACTAGAACAGAAACTTGCTAGCAAGCAGATGACTATGTGCTTTTAACTGGCTGTAAATGTTTGAGTATATTCACCAGGCATTACTTTGGATAAACAAACTATTGTTTACTAACATGAACTGTTTCAACATAATGTAGCAATCTTCTTCAACTGACTTCCTATAAATATTCTGCCGCAGTGATCAGATTGTGGAAAGCCGGATTTAAAATATCAACTTACATTTAAGAACTGTTTATCAATATATAAGCAATTATTTTGAGATAAAATATGTATGTGTTCTCACTTTTTGGGTGGTGTCCCTCCAAATCCAAGATCTGCAAGAAAACCCATCAAAATAATTTAGTTTTAAAAAATGATGATTGCTTTATATAACAAATGTGGAATTACATTTAAAAAAAGCTTTGACCTTACTTCCTACTAGATTAGCAAGTGATGAGTCAAGGTCATTGGCCAAAATCCTCCCACTTTGTTGCCCAATTACATTTCCTCTCTGATTTTGTGCAGGTACTGTTGGTTGTAATACATCATCTGAAAATGAAGGGTAATTCATTAAGAACTAAGTCATGCACAGGCAATTTTATCTTGGCCTCCTAAAATTATAAGATACATAGAACAGAATTGAAATGGATCCTGGAGGTCTTCCAATCCAACCCCCTACTTGAGCAGGAGACCTATTTCAGACAAGTGGCTGTCCAGTCTCTTCTTAAAAGCCTCCAGCAATATGACAGCCACAACTTCTTAAGGCAAGCTGGCCGATTGTTCTCACCATTAGGAAATTTCTCCTTAGTTCTAGGTTCCTTGGTTAGTTTCCATCCATTGTTCCTTGTCTTGCCTTCTAGTGCTTTGGAATATGTTGACCCCCCTCATCTTTTTGGCGGCCCCTCAAATATTAGAACACTGCTATCATGTTCCCCCTAGCCCTTCTTTTCACTAGACTAGCCATACCCAATTTCTGCAACTGTTCTTCCTAGGTTTTAGCCTCCAGTCCCTAATCATCCTTGCTGCTCTTCTCTGCCCTCTTTCCAGTGTTTCAATATGATCTATCTCATTCTTTCATAGTACAACTTTCAATCTTTTCTTTTTACAAGGGCACAAGCCACAAAAATAAAGTTAAACATCATTTTGTGTTAAAGCTAGTTTATAGCTTACAATGACACCATGATTTAAAAGGCTAATAGTGACGTGACTTTTTTTCTCTGACATGAAATAAGCGATGTGAAAGCAGACAAGATTCATTCACAACTCAGCTTAACAAGCCACGACAGGAGTATACTAGCACAGCTTTTAAATTCCAAAACAGTCCCATAAGCTATTAAGTAGTGTTTACATTTTTACAAAAGGGAATCACAAGTTTTAGATATTATTAGTAAAGGGAGAAATTGTTTAGATATTATAAACCTCTCCTCTTAAACAATAAATGGTGGATGGATGCCAGGTTTATCTCTTGCTGATGAGCACGTGACTTTCCAGCAAGGCTTTTTAATAAATTACCTTATTTAGAGAAGCATGAAGCTAAGCTTTAGAAAAGACATGAGAAAAATAAGAGCTTTACCTGCTGTAGTTCCAAAATCATTTATAGTCGATTTTCCACCAAATACAGCATCGAAGTCCACATTGATTGTTGAAGAGGTTGTTTTCTGTGATGCGGAATGAAGAGGGTAGCCTAGCAAAACATTGGTCAGATTGAGAGAATTAAACAGTCCTGCAGCCTAAAAGAACAACAAAAATTATTACAAGGACCACAAAACCAGAGGAGAAAATGAAGGAGCTTAACACTCATCTCGGCAGACAGGCAGATTGCAAAGGATGAATTGAAGCAAGGGCATGCAGAATGTAGAAGAAAATGAAAGGCAAACCCAATGTATTTTACTATGATTCTAAAACTATGTCAAATAGAAAACATGCACTTTTCATAGAATTATGCCACTTGTAGTCCAAATGAAAATCACCATAATTATTCATTGAATTAAATAGAAATGGCAATATATTGAGTGGAAACTTAGGCAAAGACTGAATTTCAACTGATGTACATATATAAGAACCAGAATTACAATTTCTATTGGTAGGAAAGAATTAGAGAATATTTTTTTTTTTACCACTAAATAGTTCCACTGTTTGTTTGGAGCCAAAGGTGGAGCTCACAAAAGGAGTTGTACTTTTTACAGCTTCTTCAACCGGTTTCATATCAAAGACATCCAGATGGGGTGGAGACCCAACACAACCATTTGTGGATGAGAAATGTCCTTTCAGGTGACAGCATTAGATAACAAGAAAGGGAAAGAAGAAAAAGCAGAAGACAAGTAGTGTTCAGGAAAGAAAGCATAGTCACAATCTGCAGAGTTCACAGATATGAGACATTTTTCCCCAAATGGATGCCCTCCAGATGTGTTCCAACATGCTAGTTGATTTTCTTGGAGTTGCAAACTAATACATGTAGAAGTTACCAGATTAGGAAAGGATAATACAGAAAATCAAAGTTGTAATTTGTTTGTTTCTTAAAAAAAAGAAAGATCTGATCTCAACCAACTTAAACTGGTTTGCAACTCATACCGGTTTTCTTGCTGTTGTTCTCCAGAGATTGACAACAGAATTCTTAGATCATTTATCGTTTAGGCTTTTAACATAGTTAGCTGATTTGGGAGCCACCAACTTCATCCTAAAATATTTATTTTATTTTTATTTATTTATTAAATGTTTATGCCGCTCATCTCTCTTACAAGGTGACTCTGGACAGCCACTTTCCTCAAAAGGTTAGATCATTTTATTATAGTGCCAAGGTTGAATTTGATTGTTGTAATTCTCTTGCTCAGCTTTAAGCGATGGGAGATCGGGAAGATCCTGTCTTATCCACTTATAAAAGTGAATACACAAGATGGAAAATTATGCAGTAGAGAAACTATCAGATCTTTATCAGGACTATTACTTTTATGTATGTAGAGAATCAGGGTGAAGCATCTGAGTTAAATGTGCTGCTGCTACCTCAGCAGATTTAATTATGGGATGAATTAAAGAAAAAGAGGGAGTGTGGCAGGAAGAAAGGAAATCCTGTGTGGCACTTAATTATAAGTACATCTTAACTACAAGCCTCTTGAAAATCTGGGACACCAGGGATTCAGTTCACATGTTCATCTAAGCCGCAAAACATGGTTTGCATATCACAATGGCTAGGTTCATACATGGCACTAAGTCAAGCAATCACATTATGGTTTAGTTTGATGTGTAAAAGTAGTCCAAATTTGTCACAGAATGTGTGATGCCAGGAGAGAAGGGTGGGGGGTTGAAAATTTTATCTGCACTTTGCACTTGAAACAATTCAGACTGGCAATCAGAAATTCAACTTTTCTGGCAGAATAGCACTTGAATTTGCTTCTGCATAGGCAACTGAGAAATGGCAATGTACATAGAAATAGGTACATGAACCCTTTTTAGCACTATAGGAATGCTAGTAACACAAAGCATTCAAATAATAATGTACTGAATTATTCAAAGTACATCCAATCTTTTTTCTGGGAGCTCAAGACAGCATACATAACTGTTTCCCTTAATTTTGTCCAACAGCAATCCAGTGGGGTATCTTAGATTGAGAGGAAATGACTGGTCCAAAATCACCAGTTAGCTCAAACAGGGACCTAAACCAGAATCTCCCAGTTCAAATTTATAATTTTAAACTATTATTCCACCCGAACCCTATTTAATTAAAATGAAATATCAATAGAAATCTTTCTTAGACTAAAATCCATTCTCTCAATTAGATCCAATTACACTTCAAATTCTGAAGAACATACTTCTTAGTCTCCTCAATTCACTCAAGTTTATGTTGAAATCAAACCACCCAGAAGGAGATAACAATATCACAAAATAGCCAGTGTGAAAAAAGTTCAAGCAAGAAATACAGCGAAGTTAATTTGATATATTCTGTGCAGAAGCAGCTCTCTTCCAGATTGTTAGCTACTACTTCTCCGCTGCAGCTGGTAGTGGAAGCAAGAGATACCTGACTTGCATGGCAACAGAGGCTTAGTTATGTGCTCAGGTGTTCAAGGTAAATTGACAGAGGAAAGAATTCCAAGTAACATCACTATTCTCTTTAGCCACAAAAACTGCTTACCTCCCCAGGCACTGCTTGCTGACGTTGCTATGGCTGGAGTACTTTGTACCGTAGGAACAAATGCAGGTTGAAGATCGAAGAGATCGGTAGAAAGGTTGGGCATGCTGAAAATTTCAAGAATACCAGTTACGCAAAGATCATACTTATTATCTACGCATCTGAGGGAGCTGAAGTTGAAACTTCAATCTTCCAGAACATTGGAAACTGAATGAGAAACCGAACAAGCATCTTAAGCTCCACAACAGAAGATTTGTTTACTGAATAGTTCACTTTATTTCTTGCAATACAAGATTTATGGTAAATCTTAGGAAGAATCCATTCCATTTGAACCCCATTGTTGATTCATTTTGAGTATCAAGAATAACCGAGTCTCTATTTTTTTTAGCAAAGCTGGCAACAATAAGACCCCCCCTTTTATTCAAAGTGTCCTGAAAAAATGAAGAAAGTTTGGAGCCAGAATCTTGCTTGAACTGCCCATCAGATCCTTGGGGAAACTCCCCAAGTACCTTCTCAAGATCCATTAGGCACTTGGGATAGGTAGATTTAATAGATATTTTCCCACTGCAGAGAGGGGTTCGCTTGTAAATCTTCACAGAAATCTGTCCATGAGAAGGAGTGAAGGTCAGTCCTCCCCATCCCACACGCATTTTCAGCTCATGTTGTATCTTGTCCAAGACACCCGAAAGAGAAAGGGAAAGAGGAAGAAATCTAATATGGAACTGTAAGATGAATCAGGTCCATGGCTGTCATTAACTCCTGCATAGCTTCAGACCTCCTTGCAGAAGGAAGGCAGACTGGAATCTCCGGCACAAGCATTTGAAAGCCCCAATTCCACCCGAGAGGGGATGAAACGGTGTGTTGCTGAGCAACAGAGGGAGCAGAACACGCAACTGATCCTTCAGGCCCAACCACATAAACAGGGTCTCGTATTTCTTTATCTATGGAGCAGCCCTTCTAGATGCCAGCAGAATCTCATGGATGACAACAGATGCTCCCACCCTACGACTGCAGCTGATGCCAAACCCACAAGGAAGAACATCCCTGTTGTCCCCCACACAGGTTTGAGTGATGCAAGCCAAGTCTCCCCCTAAGTCACAGCTAATCATGAAATGAAGTCAATTTCACTCATTAAAAGAGATCTAACATTCCACAACCGCACTGAAAACCCCAGGGTTCCAGAGATTTGACATTTCAGTGCCCTGGGAATGAAGACTGAGAGCTGGAAGGAGGGACTCCAGCTCTCAGCCTCTCATCATATCCTTCATGGCCTGGCCTGACTGCAACCACATGTTCTACAACCGACTGACTCCTCTCCTTCTCAGCCCCCAGAAACCCCCCACACCAAGTTGGGTAAATTTTCCAGTGCAAAACAAAATGAACAAGCAGATCATGAATGTTCACCCTATTAATTTTCTGGTAGCTTTTCCGTGACTAAAATATGGTGGCGGAGCAGACTAAAGCACTGTTAAGTAACACCAGCTGCCTGCAATTACTGCAAGTTCAATTCTCACCAGGCTCAAGGTTGACTCAGCCTTCCATCCTTTTGAGGTAGGTAAAATGAGGGCCCGGTTTGTGGGGGCAATAAGCTGAGTTTGTATAAAAAGAACACCGCTTGGGGGGGGGGGGGGCAAAAGCCCTACTAAGCAGATATATACAAAAGTATGAAGGCTATTGCTTAACGCATTGTAAGCTGTCCTGAGTCTCCGGAAAAGGGCGGCATATAAATCGAACCAATAAATAAACAAACCCATAAATAAATAAACCCATAAATAAATAAATAAATAAACCCATAAATAAATAAACCCATAAATAAATAAACCCATAAATAAATAAATAAATAAACAAACAAACAAACAAACAAGCAAACAAACAAATAAGCCCATGCCTACCTATTGGTAGTTGGGGCGGGGGCTGCAAAGAGATCAACGGCAGGATTGGTGTTCACACTCTTTCCTGATAAAGTGCTTGGAGAAGCAGAAGTAGAAGTAGAATTGGAAACCACAGAAATCTCTCTCAATCGCTGTTCCTACAAAAAAATAAAAAAGAGATGACAGTAGATGCTGCATTAGCCTTCTCACACAAAAAAGGTTGAATGCACCAGAAGTGAAACTTCATTATCTTGCGGAAATTAACCCACATCCCTGTCTTGTGACAGGGCTCTCTGGCAAAATACAAAAACAGATTGCTCAACTTTTTCCACAGAAAGCAATGGAATTTTTACATGATCTATATGATTTTTACAAACTGACGACCTAGCCAAAAGTCTTTTCAATGGAAAAGAATCAAGCATTTATGTGAGTTCATTGAGTTTAGCTTTTACTTGACTTGTGAATTGAAGCTGTGTTAAGGCATATTGTATGACAAACTGAGATTAAGATGACATCACGTGATAAATGACTGCAGTAGTTCTCCCAAATGTTCATTAACTGAGAGAGGGGAGGGGGGGTGTTTCCATTCAGACAAAATGGCAAAAGCGAGAAAGTGGTCCTTTTCTCGGCAAAGCTTGATCTAATGGGCTAAAATTAAGGAAGCTTTTCTTAGGGATGTAGCAGAGATAAGTGGCAGCAGCAACAAAAGCAGCTTCTACATGTCAGAGATACTTAGCCCTGCTGGCACAGAGGTTAAAGTGCAATGTTGGAGGCTAACTCTGCTCACAGCCTGGAGTTTGATCCAGAGGAGGCTCAAAGTTGACTCAGCCTTCCATCCTTCTGAGGTCAGTAAAATGAAGACCCAGATTGTTGGAGGCAATATGCTGACATTTTAAACCACCCAGAGAGTGCTGTGAAGTGCTATGGAGTGGTATAAATCAAGTCTAAATGCTATTGGCTGTTATGTCTACCAACTCAGGAGTTCATACCTTCAGAGCCTGCAGTCTAGCTTGCTCCTCCTCCAGAGCCTGCTGTTTCTCTCTTTCATCCATTTTACTGAAGGACATTCCTGTGTTGGCCAGGGTGGAAACGGCACTGGATAGAGTACTTGCTCTGAATTTTAGAGAAAACACACAGACACAAAGGCATTTAGCAGCTCTGAGCCCCAACAAACAGCCTAGAGAAGAACCAGTCTATTTTCTTGGGGGCAGGGGGCTACCCAGGGAGAGAAGGAACCTCTTGTTATACAATTAAACATTCTCAAATTAATGAGAGAAAAAAAAGAGGTGGATAGGCATTCAGACTGCAATCCTTCACATACTTAACCGATCAAATGAAGATGTTTAAGAGTATCTGCAAACATGGGCAGAGATCTCCAAGGTGGGATGACTACCTGAGTTACATGAATAAATAATCTGAAATGGAAATATTAAGATTCCGGTAATCTTTGATTTACAATTCCTCTAGTGACTGTTTGAAATTACAATGGCACTGAAAAAGTGACTTATGACCAATCCTCACACTTAAAACCATTGCAACATACCCATAGTCACATGATCAAAATTCAGATCCTTGACAACTGGCATATATTTACAACTGTTGCAACATCCCAGTCACCATACTCTCCATTTGCAACTTTCCCAGCCAGCTTCTGACAAGTGCAATCAATGTAGGAAGCCGGATTGGCTTAATGAGCATGCAATTTACTTAACAACAGCAATGATTTGCTTAACAGTCATGGCAAAAAAGGTTGTTAAAATAAGCCTGATTCAATTAATTATTGCCTTGCTTAGCGATAGCCCCAACTATAGTCATAAGCTGGGGACTGTCTGTATACAAGTGGGAATTCTGTCAGGAATGAACAGCCTTGTGTTCCTTTCCCTCCTTTAATATCAGGCAATAGCATCACAATTTTGGGACTGTGCTAAGAACTGTTCAATAGGTTTCTGTGCATTTTAATTGCCAGCACCTGGTATCATAGCTTTTATTTTAACCAACTGTTTTAGTGTAATTTATCCCCTGAAGAACAGGCAGGACTTGAATTAATCCACCAGCTGTCCTCACAAGAAAGAAAGTTGAGAGATTTGGTCGAGGTAAGAAAACACAGGTCCTGAGAAGGGATAGGCAAGTGATAGGAGACATTGGCCAAAGATCCAAGATAAGTAGCAACCAATTGCAAGCCTCAAGCAATTACCTGCTGGCAGCTGAAACTTCCTTGGTCTTCTTTCCTTCCAAAGAAGCCAGATGCTGCTCCAGGGCTTCAAGCAGACTGCTGGGAGCCTAAAGTTAAAAATCTCATGTATATTGGATTCTAAAATTCATTGTATTTAACTTGCATTTTCTGTTCTGAATGTCTACCAAGAGTTAAATTCTACTCTAAGATATCACAGCAAAATGCTTGTAAAAAATAGATTAATGTGATGAGAACCTCCATTTCTACTCCAATTTAGCCGTTTCTCTTGCTTATACCTGACAGAGAGAAAATAGTCCAAAAACGTCTTCTGTATAACAGGATGCAAATAATTACTAAGAACACAGAAGCTATAATAGACGATAAGTCATCTAGCCAAAAATCATTTATTCTGAATGGCAGCAGTTTTCCAAGATGCCAGGGGTTTTCCCGCACCACTTTTAGCCAGACCAGCAAGGTGTTAAACACAGAATCTTCTATAAGATTCTGAGTTTAAGAATCTTCTATAAGATTCTTGTAGACTAGTTTCTCAATCTAGGGAAGTCTTGATAATTTATATTGCCTTCTAGATCAACATTGCTCAACCTTGGCTATATGAAAATGGGTGGACTTCAATTCCCGGAATTCCCTACCCAATAAGTTGCTACAGTTGACAAACCCTGGCCCAAGCAAGTGGATGTCCAGGCTTTTGTGGAGAAAACTGGAGTTCCCAAATACAATACAGGTAGTCCTTGACTTATAACAGTTCATTATAAATTCATTAGCAGCTGTCCAATGTTACAATGGTACTGAAAAAAGTGACTTATGGCCATTTTTCACAGTTACAACCTTTGCATCATCCCCATGGTCATGTGATCAAAATTCAGATGCTTGGCAGCTAGTTCATATTTATAACTATTGCTGTGTCCCAAGGTCATGTGATCTTTTTTATGATCTTCTGACAAGCAAAGTCAATGGGGAAAACAGATTCACTCAACAACCAGGTTACTAAGTTAACAAATGCAATGATTCAATTAACAACTGTGGCAAGAAAGGTTGTAAAATGAGGTAAAACTCACTTAATATATGTTTCACTTAACAACAAAAATTTTGGGCTCCGCTGCGGTCATAAGTTGAGGACTACCTGTATCGTTAATGCAATCTTTTCTGTTGCTAAACTTCCCCTGCTGTATAGTTATAGAAAGTTATAGAATTTTAACTGGCCACCCCACCCCCCCACCCCGGCCAAAGTATTACGGTTACATCCCTCTTTTCAGGGGATGCTAGTCTGGGTTAAGTGTTCAGACTATTTGATCCTACAGTCTGCTTACAGGCACTTGGAAGATAATGCAAAGGTGCTATTTTTCAGCAATTTAGTGTAACTTCCTGCAAGTGTTTTTCCCGTTTGAAAAATGGTCTGGCCTGAAAGAAATCCCAGTTACACCTATCTATCAGGAAGCAATTTAGTAAGAATTAAGAGATAAGAGAAAGATCATTTAAGATTATTTACAAATTGTAAACTCAGAGCACAATGCTATGGGAGAATGAATGTACTGAATTATATCAAGTGAACTGTATCTTTTACAAAGCCTTATTAATGGGCATTCTGATCAATCAAACTAACTAAAATTTTGAGGCTGTGTGAGTTTCAAACACAGAGTATTGGATAAACAATCTATTCTATTTTGTATTTACTGACCTTATTTCTATATATTTCAAAACAATCTAAAGGCAATTTATCGAATGAAGTGTGCCCAAAGCTACTGTTTTTATTTTCCTTAACCCCATAATTCAAACAGGGCTCTATTAAGGCATTAACTACACCTGTTTCCCTTTTCTATCATGTTAAACTCCACACATCACAAACCAATGGTAAATGTTCACTGGGGAGAGGTTCACTGTAATTTTTAAAAAAGTCTGCTTCCACTGAATACTGTGCTAGCAAACATTTTCAGAAAGGAGCCATCTAGAGAGACAATTTCCCTCTCTCAGTGTTTAACATAGATAAAAAGCACCAGATTGCTGACACGGCAATCTGCAGATAATGCAGGCCAAATGATTCTTGGATAAACTGGACAGCAAAGTAATAAAAAGAGAGCTAAATAGCAACTGTGCAAATAGGAAGGAAGAGGGGTAAGATGGGGTGGGTGGCATAAGCAAAGAGGCAGAAAAAACTAAAGCACTGTGTCAGCATAGTGACAGATGGACTCACATGATAGGAATCTACAGAAGCATTTGATGGAACTATATAACTGCTACTGCATCTGAATGATCAAAGTTACAAGCTGGATAGTAGGAATTTCTCTCACTGTCTATATAGCAGGGGTCTCCAAACTAGGCAACTTTAAAACTTGTGGACTTCAACTCCCAGAATTCCCTAGCCAGCATGGGAGTTGAAGTCCTCAAGTCTTAAGGTTGCCAAGTTTGGAGATCCCCGGTCTATAGAATCACTCTGTTGTGCTAATTCTGTACAACTTTACACACAAGCATCTAATGCTATCTTAGACACAATTAGAGTGTCAGCTTATCTGTCTAGCCCTGTATTAGTACAATGAAAGAAAATGCCCTCCAAAATGTAAAGTTAAAATCCTGTCTTGTCCACTTAATACTATCAGAATATTTGGGGCACTGAATCTTAACATTTTCTCCAAGTAAAGATAAAGTTATTTATACTTTAGTCCCTTAGATTTATAAGACTACCCAACTCAACACTGACTCTGGGCATTGTACAGATTTATAAAAACAGATATAACATCTAAAACCAAAACCAAAAATAAACATAAGCATAATGGAAAGAACAGTCATGCCCAAATGAAACAAACACTGTATACCAGATAGGTACATCTTACCTATGCTAAAATTGGGGGGAGGGTGTGTATGCTTTTCAGAGATTGGGCGTTGGTCCTACCTGATACGCCCTTTCTCAGCGTGAGGGGAGGGTTTCCCAACCATGGCAACTTGAAAATGTGTGGATCAGCTCCCAGAATTCCCCAGTCACTATGCTGGGAGTTGAAGTCCACACACATCTTCAAATTGCCAAGGCTGGGAAACTCTTGTTAAAGGCTTGCAGGGTCAGGACAGTGCCACTGTCTGATCAGTGTTATTCCAGGGGTTGACACTGTAGCAGAGAAGTTGGGGCTTCATACATCAGATAAGGTTACTTAACAGATGAGACATGAAACAAACTCACTTTCTCAGACACTATTGAGTAGACAGAATGGGAGAGAGGTTGCCTGAGATAGCCAGATCCCCTATGCCACAAAATAGGTGATAAGCAGCACCTTGAACTACACTCAGAAGCTCAATGATAATTAGTGCAGCTTTCATAGCAGAGGTATTGCATGGGCATACCAAGGTGCTTCCACAATGGCTGGTGCTGCTCCATTCTGGACCATCTGTAGCTTCTGAATGGTCTTCAAGGCTAGCCACGTGAGATCACAGCGGAAGATGAGCGACTGTGACAAGGGACTCGCAATCCAAGAAAGGGCACAACTGCTATACCAGATGAATCGGTGCAATAGCTCTTCTGGCTATAGCTACCATGTGCTCATTGAACAGGAATTTTGAGTGCACGAGGACTCCGAAATTGTGCACCTGTCTTGGATGGAAAATGATACCCTATTCAGAACCAAAGATGGAGAATCTCTGACATCTGAGCAACCACTCTCCCACAGCCACTATGTCTTGTTGGGGTTCATTTTAAGCCTGTTTTCTCTCAGCTAAACTGAAACAGGTCCCAGTACTGGAACATTAACAGTAGAACCATCCCAAAGGTGCTTTTCAAAAGGCAACTGGAATTTCTTGGGTTTGTCCTTGAAAATGTTTCACCTCTCATCCAAGAAGTTTCTTCAGCCCAATGTATTAATATCAATAATATCACAGAATGAACATTAAGAAATCTTAGATTTATCATCTACCTGTATGACACAGTAACATATAGACTACATTATATAGTCCATTCAGCATCAGTTATCAAGAATTTCACAGAGAAACATTTCCCATGAGCACTTCTTAAAAGAGATAACTGAAGCTATGAATCTCTGCAACTCCATTCTATGGCTTAACCACTGAACTACAACCTCTCCCTCTTTGTTAAGCAGGGGACCATTACAGCACTGTCCTCAAGCTGATGAAATTGGAGAAGATGCTTGTATGTTAATAAAGGATTTCTCTCTGGCACAGTATGGATTTCAGCAAAACAGTCTAGTTGTAATGTACAGTATATGGCTGTGGATAGATAGATAGATAGATAGATAGATAGATAGATAGATAGATAGATAGAGATAGATAGATAGATAGATAGAGGTAGGTAGATATAGGTATAGATATATCCCCCAATCTAACAATATCTAGAGAGCTCATGAAAATACTTGAAACAATTTGTTACTGATCACACACACACACACACACAGAGGTTACAGGGAAAAAATGACACTTATTTCCATATATAATATATATGGAAGAAAATGAATTCTTAGAATGTACAGAATGGAGCACTCACTGTTAAAACACAAATGCACAAAGGATTGGAATTAAATTAATATGAAATGTACACTGACCTGAGTAAGATCTGGAATGTCACCCTGATCAATTCCAACTTGCTGGGTTCACAAAAAAGGGAAAAAATGTACATTACTACATGCAGTGGCAATGAAAAGAAAGAACTGTGGACCTGAATGTCTACATAAAGCTAAGAGACCAGGGAGGACACGGACTGCTTTCTGAACTGGTACAATTCTAAATGCCACTTCCACCACAAATTTTAATATTAAGTGTTGATCCATTTCAAATACCAGAAAGAGCAAAAATAGCTTGTGAGAATTTTTGACACCACTTGGAAAAACAACTTCAGTAAATACCTCAGCACAGACATCTCTTAATTACAATTAATAGAAATCAGACGATCAAAATATCCCTTTAAAATGGAAATGATTTCGCTGACATTTACATTCAACAACCACATAAAACCTACATTTGCAGGAAATTATGAGGCAAGAACTACAATCATGCACTTATTACTGTACCAGTACAGAAAAGCTAAATGAAATACTGCTGATATAACTGGATTTATTTACCTCTGCCACTTTGAGGAATTCTGATAGTTTGGTCATTCTGGCTAAAAACTTTTTGTAAATATCCAGACCTTCTTTGCACTGGTTCTTCTTCATATCAAAATATTTTTCTGAAGCATAAAATTCAAAGAAAAGATATTGTAAATAAAAGGGCTCCAAACATACATATTTTATTAGGGGTTTAATAGGCTGAGAAAATAAAATACATCCTAACCAAGAGCTTTAACATATAAGAATCTGCCTTTTTTTTTTTTACTATGGGGTTATAAACTCTCACGTTATATTATTGAGGACAAATAAAAACCATCTGTAAATGAAAAGCTTTAGAAAAGGCTTTTATCTCTGTCTGTCAGACCACAAATTAATAATAGCAACATTAGAAAAAAGCTTTGGCTTTCTAACTCTGGGAGATTACAGTAAGGCTACTACAATATTAATTATGCAAGCTGACAAACTTGTTTGAGATACATATTAAAATTCTTAAAAACATTTCTAACCTGTGGCATTCAATGAAGTTAGTAAAAAAAAACCAAACAGCTGGATCCTAAATTAAATTGTGGGTGAGAATTTAGATTAATAGAATTCTCATTCACAATTGAATTCTATTATTCTACTTTCCATTTTTTAACTTTATTATAAACCTTAAGACAACGAAAGTAAATGTCAATCAATTTATTCCCAAGGAGTTTTTAGTGATGTTTAATGATAATTTTACTAACTCTTCAGCATCTTCTGACCACACAAGGCCTTTTTCATAGTTATGGATGAATGCAAATTTTCACAATTTTATCATTACTACAAAGATTAGGATGGTCCCAAGAAGTTGTATCTACATTCAGAATACTTTAAGAATTTGGTCTGCATTGATATACCAAGAATCAAGTTTCTATCTCCCCCAAACCATGTGTGGTATGCATAATTTCAGTCTTAGTTTCGTTAAGCATAATTAGTTGGTTCACATGTGGTTTGCTTTACCATGTTGCTTACACTTTTGTCAATTTATTCCCCTCTCCCACTTCCAAAATTCAGATTAATTTAATACCAGGAAATAACAAACAATGCAAATTACAACTCTAGAAACTTCTTTAGCTGTTTATTTTGGTAAGTGAAGTGTGCGTTTCCTGAGAACTAGTTAAGCTGCTGAAGTGTTATGGAACATTTCAACATCCTAGCTGGTCAAAGCTATACAATAGTAGTAGTTGTTTTTTTAAAGTAATTTCTAACATATTACGGATATAAGGCAGAGGAAGCTACATGCAGATATTGGAAAAGAATGCAACAGAGAAAAGCATAAGCAAAGCTATTATGTGTTGGCCAAGGGACATATGTGTGTCTGAGAAACAAATTGTGAAATAAGACAAACTAAACCAACAAAATGGAATATAAAGTAGTGATGGAAAATATTTAGAAAACCACATATGCATATTTACATGTCTCTATTTAAATTATTTTTATTTCACATACCTAGTAGGTTAATGATCCCCTCATTATAGGCCGCAAAAAGCCTAATGGAATCTTTAAAGAGGAGCATGAAGGCAGCATTGATTACTCCATTGGTTAGTTCATTTGGGTTTGCCTGCACAGAAAATGGGGAAAATGAAGAGTTAAAACATGAGAGAATAAAAACATTCCCCCATGCCCTTGGATAACTTGAACTCTGTTTATAGCAGTAAAGAGCAATTCCTAGGCTTACATCAAAATCAAGAAGTGCATCCAGCTGATTCTGAATAATTGGCAGGGTTTTCAAAAGTTTTTCAGTATTCATTGTCCTCATCACACCATCAATCCTTCAAAGACATAATGGAAAATATATTTTGAGAGGTTTATCAGAATGCGTGCAGTGCAACAAAATTGCACCCTATGTGTCAGAATCTACTAAAACTGCTCCTTTCTGCATTATGTACATGAGAATAACTTCTGAAATCAAATCAAAAATCAAATCAGAAATCAAAAATAGGCAAAGAAAGGGATTTTTTTCATTTTTCAAATCACATTATTGAATCTCTTTAAGGAATATTTCCTATTAATGTTATACCTGTATTCAAAATGCAGAAAAGGTTAACTGAAAACAGTACTGTAAATACTTTAAATTGATGTAGCAATTTGGATCTTTCTTGGTTTTCTCTATGTACAATATTTCCTTTAAGCTGGTTCCACTCAACATCTGATTGCCAAATACAAGAGCATGATAATCGAAGTGACCCTTACCCTCTTTTCATTTTGGTGAAATCAACTGCTACAAGTCTATAAGAAAGTGCTTTTTCATTCAAGTATCTGCTATATCGTCTGATGAAGGTAGACATATCATAGCCTGAAAATAAAGAAATTTTCAGTTAGACTTTTTTTTATTTTTACATTCTTATAACTTTTCTTCTGTGTTAAAAATTAGTCAGAATTTTTTTTTTACTATAATAGCCAGATAATAATACAAGCTAAAAGAAAGGAAAGAAATTGGGAATAAAAATGCAAGGAAAATATATAAGTTAGAATAAAAAAAAAAGAAACATTAAAAAGTTGCTTTACAACTTCATCACAAGTATAAACAAATTTAATAACTCTTCAACCTTTCTAAAGTTACATTTATTTCTTCATCCTATATCTTAACTATAAACTAATATATAAAGCATCATGTTTTCAATCCTGGTGTCAGCACAAAGATAACCACAAGTAACAAAATATTGCATTTTAACCTTAATCAATTAAACCTACTTTATATTAATTCCTTTCACTTTTAACAGTTTTAATCTTTAATTATAAATATTGTCATAGAAAATTCTCTTCATTTCTTCTTTGTCCCATTACACAGAGTACTTCAAATCTTTAAGAAGCCAATTCTGTAAATCCAATAGGAAAATTTTATTCAGGTCACTCTCTTGGTTTGTCATTTGCACTTCCCTTTTAAATTTTAAAGCCTGAGCCAATTTCTTTTGTAGATCCAGTGAAACATTCTTTCCTAAATTGTTCTCTTTGCCTGTCAGTCTAAATTAATTTTTGAAACCATTTCTATCTTATCAAATATTTATTCTATATCTGACATTGCTTCAGTAACATCTTTTACTATACTACAGTCTATCCATAGAAGCAAACATAATTACTTATATTGTTGATATTATGGCTATTTTCTGATTCCATTCTTCAAAAGTCTCCTTCAGTATTTCAATTTTATTATGTTTTCCACCATTTTGAAAACCTACATATCTTTCCTATAGCCCAAATCTTTCGTTCTAGTGTCCAGTTTTTGAAATCATGAAATTCTTTGTTAATCTTGTAAAAACCAAAACAGAATCTGTTTTCCAGAAGGGGTGTGTTCTTCATAATTAATTCCAAAATCTTGTTAGAAAAACTTCAATATTCCAATTTTATATGGACTTTTAGTCTGTTTATAACTTTCTAAGATCAAAATCTTATTTACTGTATTTTTCAGAGTATAAGATGGACCTTTTTCCCCCCAAAAAAGAGGGTGAAAATCTGGGTGCGTCTTATACTCCGAATGTAGCCTCACCCAGCCTCGCAAACGGAGATTTCAGAGGCTGAAAGAAGCCTCTGAAAGAAGCTTCAGGAAAAAAGTCTCAGAAAGGTTTTATCTAAAATAATATGGCAAGCAACAAAAGAAGAATCAGTAAAGCTTCTAACCAAACTATGCTAACAAATCTGGAGAATGACACAATAACCAACAGAGCAAGGCACAGAGCTCACAACCAAGGAACCTGTTGCTAAAATTCACCTCTGGAAACAGCTGATTGGGGGTATTCAGGGAGGCCGATCCACCCACCAATCAGCTTTTTTCTTATTTTCCTCCCCAAAAACTAAGGTGTGTTTTAAACTCTGAAAAATACTTCTCTTTTGCTTTTTGCTATCTCTTTCAGAATCTTTAAATTCTTAAGCTTATGATTAAAATGTTGTTTTATTCAGAATTAAAGATACACATTGTCATTCTAAAGATCTCTAATAGTTCAGAAGCAGTTAATAAGCAATTTCTAAAATTGATTAGAAAGTGAGGTCTGCTAAGTGAGTGTCCTTTAAAAATCTCCACTGCAGTTGCAAGCAAGATGGCTAACACGGTTGTCTTCTGATGTTAAAACTCACAGGAAACTACTGTCCTACGATTTCCTGACATGAAGTAGCCATCCAGAGCAGAAGTGGGAGATCTGTCCTCTCTTTATCAATAGAGGGTCCAAGGAATTTATCTATTCATCTGTTTCTTGGTCTCTGGTATAATCATTCGCTCCCCTTTCACAGAGCCATATTCAAATCCCTTCAAAAGCCTTATAACAATTCTTCTGGCTGTATTGGGATCCAAATTAATTCCAGTTCCTTGGAATATCCATCTTCCAACTGCTTCAACTTGTAAACCTCTTGATACTAGAAATTGATGTAGTCCCTATGAATGGCAGTATTATCTCATTAAATAAAAGCCAACAACACTTTGAGGAGTTGTTTTAGAACAATTTATGTCCTCATTATTTAGCTTGTAAATCATCAATAAGCTGGTATTTTAGTAATTGACTCTGACAAGTTGCTTACAATTCAAAACAAATTCTTTATTTATAGAGATCAGCAATATACAAGCAAACAAAATCCATCAGTTAAAAAGCAAAAGACATATTTCATGTTAATTGTTGCCTCAATTGAACTGCTACTACAATAAATTTTGTCTAGTGCGTAGGTGGTTTCACAGATTGAGACTGTAAAGTAAAAAGTGAGCGTAAAAATGGTCTGTTCCCCAGGTGCACTTAAGTAGTAAAAGAGGGATTATCATGTCCTTTGGAAGATCCTTATAAAAGCTACAATAAAAAGATGTTGAATTGTCTCAATTTCTCAAAGGCAAGGAGAATGTTGGCATATATGTCAGGTAATAGCAATGATGGAAGGATGCTGGCCCTAAAAAATTCCTTTCCTCAGGTTAGAAGATTTGACCGCTGCAAATTCGATGCTCACCTGTAAAGCCCCAATCATCTGAGGAATCATTTTCATTATCAATAACAAAAATCCGACCAAGATAAAGAAATGTAACAGGCTAATCAAATATGATTCAATTTAAATACAGAATATAAATTCAAACTAATTTTTTAAAGAAAAAGAATCCTTACCCTGCATGGCACTTTTATCCAGATAATTGTTGAGATTAAATAATGTATTTCGAGATGCCAAGTATTGAATAAAGCGCTGTGAACAAATGAATCAGAATTCAGATTATTATTATATTTCTGCAGATTATCTTTCTTTAGAAATATTTTATATTGCTAATTTCTAAGCAAGTGCATAAGTGACACATGAAATACAGATAGTCCTCAACTTACAATCACAACTGAGCCCAAAATTTATGTTGTGAAATGAGAATTTGTTAGTTTAAAACATTACATTTCTTGCCACAGTTGTTAAGTGAATCACTGCAGTTGATAAGTTAGTAACCTGGTTGTTAAGTGAATCTGGCTTCCCCAATGACTGCTTGTCAGAAGGTTGCAAAAAAAGTGATCACATGACCCCGGGATGCAGCAACAATCATAAGCATGAACCAGTTGCCAAGCATCTGAATTTTGATCATGTGATCATGGAGATGCTGCAAAGATTGTAACTGTGAAAAACAGTCATAAGTAACTTTTTTCAGTGCCATTATAACTTTGAACAATCAAAGTGAACTATTATAAATAGAGAACTCCATGTAGTTCCTCAATCACCTAAACAAAAACTATTTCTTGTTTTTACTAAGGCAAATCAATTATATCTATTAATAGTTACAATTTTGCAATCACTAACCAGAGAGGCAAAAGTGGAGCAGAATGATGTAAGAGAAACTGATATGCAATGTATTTCATAGCAACTCTGGTTTACAAATGGTTCCATGGAAAAGGGAAATGGAAGCAAAATTCAACTGCACATTGCTCATTCTGCATGCACCTCATATATCATAGTTCTAAAGAAGATATACATACTATTCTGAGATTATTCTCATGGCAACTAAACAAGGTTTACATCTACACATAATAGGAAAATAGAGCTAGTAGAAGGCAAAGACAGTCTACTCTTAATGCTTTAATTGCTGCAAGGTGACACAACTAACAAGTTATTATCTCATTGTCCTTTGGGATTCTTCCAATTGTAAGATATGGGTTTTTGTTTTTGTTTTGTTTTAGTTTCCATTCTATCAGCTTCCTTCATGACTGAACACTATAAACCCCTTTAGGAAGATCTGCCTTTATCTGAGTCAGGATTGTCTCGATCCTGTAAAAACTAGTCTCCTGTAAAGCAAATACCACTCTGTTTTTCAAATCAAAGGGATACATTTTTGCATGGTAAGAATGGAACTGGTAGATTTTATGACAAACATGCCTTCTAAAAGCATAAACACACTTTGGGGACAAAGAACTGGTAACTAGACAACAATGGAGAATGCATTGTTCAATTTCGTCACAAAGTAAGCTTGGAATGTATATTCAACACATTCTCATTCGGACTCCCCAAGAAGTCTGAAATAGGCAAATGCTAACAGGCACAATGTGGTTAAAATGGCAAGTCAGCAATAGAACTCTTGAATTTTTAAGGGCAAAAATAAAACCTGCCAGACCAGAATCTCATGAGAACATAGGATTTAGAAACTATACCAGCACTTGTGTAAATATTTCATTTAACACATTGCTAACTCAGTAATGGGGGGTGGGGGACAGAAGAAACTAATAGAGTAACTTTATATGCCAGTATTTGCTTTCTAATAAGGAGCTAGTTATGCAATTCCTCCTGAGGTTCTTGATGTCTCTACCATACTTGTCCTTCGGAAATTCACCAGGCTCTTATTCTGAAACCCCTCCCATTTTGAAATGAAACTCCGAATTGCAAAATGCTGCTTTCTTACCTCATTTCCATACATCATGAGGTGGTGCGTTGTAATTAGAGCTTTGAACACTACTACCCAGCTACTGTTTGCCGTCCTCTCAAAAAGCGTATCTGCTAACTGTGGAATATTCACATTCATCTCATTTGTGCATTGAATTAAATCTGAAATTCAAAAACAAGATGTTTTAATAAATATTTATTTATCAAATTTGTTTGCTGCCAGTCTCACCACAAGGTGATTTTTTATACTGACAAAAGCTCAAAAAAGGGATATATTCAAGAGCATTCGGAATCCTAAACTTTACTCTCGTATTCAACCAACTACAAGTAGTCCTCATTTAGCAGTTACAACAGTGATGAAAAAGTAACTTTAAGATCATTCCTCATAGTTATGACCTTTCTAGATCTGTAAAGGAAAGGAAAGCTGAAGCAACATCAAAGGCAGTTGCAGTTTCATTTAGTGACTGCTTTGCTTAACAGTCGAATTGCCTCTCCTGACTGTGATGGCTAAACAAGGACTACTTGTGTTCTTCACCTTTCACACATTAACTGGAGAAAGTTTCTTCTATATGAAATTACATTAAACACTTTCTAAATGTTTCATTATGATTCCACATCTTTAGTATCAAGCAACTTTCTTTTGCAGCATCATTTTGGTTCTCTGGTAAAAATGACTCTTGCTGAATCAAGCAGACACATCTATTCATCCTTTACAAACAGGAACTGATGTATACATCTAAAAGAAAAGTTTTACCAAATCAGAAGTGGCAAATTGTGTTTAGAGCATGACAGGATTAGAAATAGGGTATATTATTACTGACACGTAGACAAAAGTTTAAAATAATGTATCTAGCCAAAACTGGAGGGCGGGACAGAGAGTGGAGTCCCTTCCAGAACTTCAAGACTCTTGGATTATTACTCACTAACATTTTGAACGTGCTAAAAAAATAGATAAAAATGTTATGGGAAGCAATTGGGCAGGTTTGAAAGACATGTGCAGAGAAATAGCACAACCCCAAACTTCACTGATTATACAAGCAGTGAGAAAATACAAATAGTGCTGGATTGTCTGTAAACATTTCACACACAAATATCAGCTTGTTGCAGCAAAATCAGACACCTTAAATTCAAACAAATTATAGCAATATATTTCCAATGTGCTTTAAAAAAAACTAATTCCTTAATAAATATTTGTTAGTTTATAGAGATCTTACCTTGGAATAACATAAAATTGGCATAGGAGACTATTTTATAGCAAAAATAAGGAGAACCATGTTACTTCTTAAATGAGAGACAAGGATGAGCAGAGAAAGCATATAGTAACCTGAGAAACCAGCTGAGAAATATGAACAGAAAATGAATATAGGAGGAGGTTGGCCCAAAGATTCACAGCTAAGATTTTTTCCTGATATCATACCCAAGAAACCCAAAGAGCTGAAGAGAGAACAAACAGACAGGCAATGGGACAGCAGAGCAAATGTTTAATAGTACTGGTGTTCTGTTCAATGGTCTAACAGTCCTGCAGTCAAGCTAAGATCCAGTTAGCATTTTTACTGGAACCTGAGCAGGCATGAATAACATTAGAAAATCTCTCATCTTTCCCTCGCTATCCTATATTCCCCAATTTCTTCAAATGATTCAGGTTGTAAAATAATGTATTGTTTAACTTTTCCTCACCTGGATTTTTTGTTACTGTAAACAAGCAGGATATGCAAGCATTCAAATTTTGCATCCTCTGAAACTATAAACATCACCCTGATTTTATTTCTCTTAATATCATTCAACTTTCTTCCTCTTGTGTGACCAAGCTCAAATATTCCCAGTTTGCTCAGGCCTCTAAAAGTCACCATTTTCCTAGAAATTTCCTACTCCTTATTTTCCAAACCATCATTTCCTACTTCCATTTTTTTTGATATTGTTGTTCCTGGGAAATCACAAAGGAATAGCCTGCCAACTCAGGAATTGGTTAATACAATAATTAAATATTTCATTTCTGCAAATGGTCCTGCCCAAACTGTAGATGCAGATGAACTTAATCTTTGTCCATGTTCTGCAGCTAATTTATCAACCTGACCCAGCATAGCATGTACAGTAATTCTTCACCATATACAGGCACGTCTGCATCATAGAGTTGAGTGATAATATTCCCGTCCTTCAGAGAAAGCACAGGCCCACTGATGCCCTCCAAATGTTCTTCAATCAGACTATGAGAGTCCATGACAGCCACAGAGGGCAAAGAGCAATAAAGAATTTCTGCAGACTATCAAAGTATCAGCCACTCCTTCTCTTAATCTCTAATCTTAAGGGATCAATATACAAGCCCTTGCAAATCAAGTATGGAAGAGTAGCATACTTCCATCTCTTTCCAATTCACGATCTACTTTGAATTTAGCCTATCCTTCTGAAATGTTCAGTCCAATTCATTCACATACATATATCTGGAACAAGAAACTATAACTGTGTAGTTGATACTGGATGAAATGCTCAAAGCAAACATAGGGAAAAAATTCCTCACAAGAAAAACAGTGGTTACTTTAGACCCTGTATAAATACATTACAATATATTTTTTACTGCAATTATAATGTATTTTAAATATAAATACATTGCTGATCTGCCCAAAATCCCAGCAAATTGGAATTTGAGCCTTTTGGTCAGTGCTTCAAGACCACAAATGAGAAAAGATAACCAATGTTTTGATAACTATGGTTTTGTTCAAACTGGACATCTAAATTATACCATAGTGCCAAGATGTAAAATAATAGCTGGAATTTTTCCCTCTATTCATGATCACTCAATTAGTTGCTGATTATATGAATAGTGTGGTTATTCAAAGTGACCCATTGGATTTCCCAGCATATCACTGTTATCTATATATACATTTCTTCATTTTCCCTAGATGTGCAAACTGGACTTTAGGGGGAAAAATACAGTATTCTTACTGCAATAACAAGCAGTATAATTCATTGCATTCATTTCAGATCCTATTGTATTTGTTTGCATTACAATGACAATTTTGTACTGCTTTGTGAATTATAAGAAGCTGCATTAAAACAGCATTTTTTATGAATTGCTGCCTCTTAAATCTCAACTTAAAAACTCATCAAAAGGCCTGATAATTTTTTCTAGAAAACAGATTTCTGCAACTAGCAAGGAATCTTTTTTCTTTCCAGGATTTTGATTCACTGGGTATTCTCAGTCTTTTTCACAAAGACTGTCCATTATTATACATTTTATATCTGTTGCCTCGATGGACTTTTAATAACAGTCATCTACACACTAGACTAGACTGAAGCCAACCCTAGAAAAAAATCAATGAAGCAATTAAGTGAGAAAATGGAGGCTTATATTAAAGGTTAATAGGCATAGAACCATAAAATGATGGTAAAAAATATGAAGTCTGAATCCTAATTCATCAATTATGATGTGTTTTCAAGAAGGAACAAGATTCAAGCACTATGAAATGCAAAACTGGGCAATCTAACTCAGCCATGCCCTCTACGTCACAAAGGAGTAGTGACTCCTTTGGGTATCGCATTAGAAATACTCTTATTTTCAAAAAGAATCGAGTGATTTTCCTATCCAGCATGCCTATAAGTAACTAAAGATATGATCCAATTCTGATTTCCTCTATTATCAAATGCAAGCTATAAATCTGCAGACTTTTCTGTGCTACTGATAATCCCGAGGGATAACTAATGTTTAGGGACTACCGCTTGGCTTGCAAAACCCAAAGCATGTAGTAGAATAGAAGCAAGCCATCACAAGAAGTGGCAAGTCTACCACCCCCACTGTCTGGGAAGAGTGGTAACTGTATCCCCAGATACAGCACTGCTGGTGTATGACATTGTTGTCTGGCAGCTGGCTCATAATATTAAGCTATCCTCTAGTCTTGAGCCACCTAGAATATGCTGGTTTGCACTGCCTGCCCTAGAGTGAAGCAGGCTCATTTGATACTGAATCAATTTGAAGCTTTTATTCTCGAGTGTAAAGCAATCTACAGAATGAGAAATATCAATTACTATTATTTAAGGTTTGAAAACTTGTGTTATGTAGCTAAAGCCACTATTGGTAAGTGAAGATTGCTGCTGGTTCGAATCTCTCCAAGGCTCAAGGTTGACTCAGCCTTCCATCCTTTCTAAGGTAGGTGAAATGAGGACCCAGTTTGTGGGGGCAATAAGCTGACTTTGTATAAAATATACAAAAGAATGAAGGCTATTGCTTAACGCATTGTAAGCCGCCCTGAGTCTCCGGAGAAGGGCGGCATATAAATCAAATTTAAAAAAAAGAAAAAAAAAAGATAAACTTCCATTAAGAATGCTGTTATAATAAATCAACATAACTGCCCAATGTTCACAATCACAATATGAAAACTAAAAAACCTTCTATACTGAAAATCCATTATTGATTACTGAACATCTCATCTAGCAGATAAGAAACTGTGAAAAATGCCTATCTAGAACATGACAGCTAGCCTGAACTGCATTCCTGGATCACATGATTTCTGAACAGTTTTTATCAAGCAATAAATCTGAGTTAACATTTTATTTTTTTTAAAAAAAGCAGAATCTCTGCTGCAGTATATTTGCAACCTTCAACTGGACAAGTTCACTGGGTCACTATGGTCCAGTCATTGGCTGTGTCTGCACTACTGCCTAAATTACTGACTTGGCCAGCCAGATTTTTAGCCTAGTATATTGTGTGAATCCAGACTGGTATTTAATTACTGGCTCAGTGTGCACACAAATCCAGAAAAATTAATTAGTAAATCATACCTCAGATCAAACATAGCCACTATCTCTTAGTCAAATCTATCTCACAAGGTTGTGTTGAAGGAAAAAAATTATGTAGGTCACTCTGCGCATCTGCAGAAAAGGCAAATTTGATAATTATGTGTCCATCTTCTTCACACACATATCCCATGCATTAACGGAAACAGACCAAAGTAGATTCAAGATGCATCATTTTTTTTAAAGATGCAAAATTTTATAATTCTATTTAATATCCAAGTAGAAATATCATTGCCACCCACAACGAAGTAAGGGAATTTGCTAATTTGAATCTAGTAAGCATTTTAACTGACATGCCATATTGAAATATCGTGGGAAAGCAGGTGAATACCAAACTATATATGGTTTAGTGAGCAATAGTTAATAGCCATACA